GGGGGGGGGGGGGGGGGGGGGGGGGGAGATTTACTGCTGGAAGGGAATTTTTTTCTTGATATGGGATCGTTATGTGCAAGATTTTTTCCCCTTATTCCATGACCATGTACGATATTTTTTTGCCACTCTTTCGCAGCATTTTCTTCAATAGCTTATACTATTTAGATTCTTTAATTAATAATAGGTAACGTTGAGTTTGAGGCTTCATGCATTGCTTTTAATAATACCTATTGCTATGAGATATAAGATTTGGTTCAGGGCCTCTTTACGGATGTGTAACTGGAGGGGACATATTTAGCGGGGGACCTGGAGAAGTTCCAGTTGGCAAGTCTGTATCACTGCAGCTACCAGTATATATATGCATGGTTTAACTAAGTATATGCCATAGGGCAGCAGATCAAGCCAATATTACCTAGGATTCTGAGACAACCGAGTCGACCGTAGCACCGAAGGTGCAAGCCTCTAAAGGGGTCTGGGGGTCAGTTTGGTTAAATGGACTAGCGCCACGGTCAGCGGGTCAGGAATTGACAGTTTAAGCTTTCCTGATGTTTCTACATCTTTGGGCTGGTAATGGTGTTGAAACTTCTCGTGTAGTACTGTAGTGTATTAACAAAAGCCAACTTTCTCACATATAATCTGAGAGCACAATTCCGAAAGATTGTTTTCTTTCTGATGGTTTTTTGTGATGAAACATGAACAATTTTACTAAAATTACCAAATTGCTGTTTAATTTAAAACAACATTTACAAAATCTGCAATATTGTATTAAATTGTATTATAGTATTGAGTTTAATTCGCAATATTGTTTGATTGACATGTTTACGTGCAAGCGAATATTTTTAGAAACCAATTAATTATGTTATGACTGGGGCGTGTAGTCTTGAAAGGCGGGCTTTCCTGCAGGCCCTTAATCCTCCCCTGGAGCCCGCCAAAATCCTGCCCACTGCAAATCAGACCCCCCATAAATTTGAGGGCCTGCCACGCAGGCTAATTGGCCAGATGGCCCCCCCCCCACTTTTTACTGTCAGGCAATTGAGCTGAAATCCGTGTGTCATTCGGGTAAAACATATAACTCTCATCAAAGTTGATCAGAAGAACTGCAGTCTACAATGAATAATTGAATCTAATAACACCAATATTAATTGCTTTTAATATACTTTGTCATATATGAATAACACCTGTATATGATCATGATCGCTTATGGCAAAGATTATGAAGATTGCAGAAACCGAGCATTGTTCTTAGACATTTCGGTTAAACGTTTGCTAAAGCAGCCTTAACACAATCATACTCGTTTGTTTATAAAAGCACAATCCTGGCCCTTTTTTAACATACAACCATTTGTGGCAAATGCCCCCCCCCCTCGACTCTCCCTTTGTGTCCCCCCCCAAACAAACCAGTGAAGAATAACAAATAGATGGGTGGGAAGTTTTAAGCTTTATCCTTTGTCCTTGTTTAACAAAATGTATTTAAATTATCATGTTTTTTTACCACTAAGTAATGATAAATAATTGTTCCTAATTTATGAATTTGTAATATATCAAATTTATTTATTTTTTTGCACATTTTTTCCTTCTTTTATTTCAAATACAAGTATAGTTAGCATAAATTTTTGAGCGAATTTGGAGCTCAGAATGCATAAAATTGCATTTCTGGGCTTCAAATTTCAAATATTTTATGTGACAGTATGCAACCCCCAGCCCCCCCTCCAGGAATTCATGTGTGGTATGGCAGCCACATAGCTGTCGGCTGCTAATATATTATCTCACAGAAAGGTCCCTTGTCAAAAAATCCTCCCACGGGAAAGTCCTTAAAAAAGGCCCTGATAAAATCTCGAACAAAGGTGTATATGTGTACTGTGTAAGGAAAGCAGTTGGGCAAACTAACACTCTGCCCCCCCCCCCAACAACAACAAGATTAAGCCCATCCGTCCATGGTATATACTGTATATTTTGCATGATATATAGCTTTAATAATTTATACAAAATAAGGATATTATGTTTTCATCATTTATAATCTACTTTGCTCATGTGGAGGATTGTAATTCATGGAGGCATTGATGGCTTTTCCAGGATACCTGTTTACCTAGTCACTTCAAATAATAACAAAGCCGACACTGTTTTAACAGCATTTAATAAAGCAATTGAAACTTATGATTTGCCAGCACATGTACAAGCAGACAAGGGAGGAGAACATTTCCAAGTTGCATGGTACATGTTAAATCATCCACAACAAGGTGTAACTGGAATGCGTTTTCTGTTAGGTTATTTCTGAGCAGTAATGTATATAATAAGCAGAAAAATACATGGATGCTTGGAAATACCAGATCTATTTCTCGTGTTGAACATGATATCTCACTTGTTCGCTGCGCTGACTCTTGAGATATCATGTTCAAAACAAGAAATAAATCTGGTATTTCCATGCACCCATGTATTATTCTCTATATATAATTGCAACTGACCTAATAACTGTTCATTAGCATTTCCACAAGCATTTGACAATGCTGAGTCAATCTCATCATGACTTGCAGTGGGAACTAAATCATGTGCATCCTTAATTTCATAGGATCTAAAACATAAAACAAACAATATATCGTACTGTACCCCCCCCCCCCCCCATATGTATCAGCATATTCATCAAGTATGACTGTCAACTATTTCATTACATTAAAAGAGATTAATGGCCATTACTATTTCAGTTTCACACAAAAACCCTTAACAGATAAAAAATTATCAAATTTTCACTTTTCCCAAAGTCAGTAATTTAATTTCCACTGGGAAAATTTTGATATCCCTGAAACACGATTTCAAGCATTAATTCTGGGGTGAAATTTTGCAGAATTTCGAAGAATACAAAGTACATCAGTTAGGAAAACTAGTACTCTGCCAAAAGTTGTGGGTTTCCATCGTGTACTATGGTTTCTTCCCACAGGGAAGTTGACAGGGTGAGTTAGGTAATACGGACTCACAGTAATTGGCATATGCTGTTGTGAGCAGCTGGGAAATTTGTTGTCGCTGTGGAGAGAAATTGCTGGCGCACGCAATATTTTACAAAAATTCGAAAATTTGAAAAAACAACATGAGTGAAATTTCAACTCATGATTTTGCATTTTTAAGATGGCGATCAAGGAAATTAAATTGTTGGAAAAACTTCACTAACATCTCAAGTATGGAAAGCATCTACATTACCAGAAATTTAATTGTGGATTGATTCAAAATTCAGGCGCTAAAGTTACATAGCTAGGAGTTGGCTTTTGTGCTCTTCGAATATCAGTTTTCATTCGCGGATTTATACCGAACTTGTTGGTCTCATGGGTGCCAAAATCGACATAAACGTAAACCGGTAACCAAGAGCTATAAAACAAATAGCTTTTCAAAACGATAAACTTTATTCAGTCAAAAGGATGAGGGTAGATAAACATGCTACTGCGTGATGGTGATTTTGAAGCAACTTTGTCACATATATTTTAAAAAGTGGGATAATGAATCAAATTTTGCTTTTTTCAATCCCAAAAAGGTATAAAAATTATTTAAATATTTAAGGTTTCCGTGTTTATAATGTATTTTTTGAGAAAAGTAAACATTTTCCCGATAAAAAAGCATACTTTCTGTTTTTTGAGATAGAATATCCTGGGAGAGGGGGTGTAGAAGAGTGGGCGGATAGCAAAAAACTTTGACGATTTCACCAAAAAATTAATACCAAATTTTGTTTTGCCTAAGTTTGATATGTAATTTAAACAAGTTTTTTTACATCTAAAAATTGACCCTTGTGATCAAAACTTGGATTATGTTCGCAGTATTGTCTATTTGTTTACTTCTGGAGATTGAAGTTTGAGGTCCAATTATTTTTAAAGTTTGCAAACTACTCAGCTAGTAGAACCGAACATACAAGTGCATTAGAAGTTTTGTATAGAAATGCTCTGTTTACGGGAAGTTATTTTGCATTCGCAAGTGTCAACAAAAGCCGGATTTCACAGTTTGATTATCATGTCGATAGATAAAAGCTTTGAAAATTCAATTGAAAACATTTTAAACCACCCGTATTTCTATAGAATATATGTTAGTGGTATTAACATTGAACTTCTTTCTGTTTGAACCCAAATTCGTACTTGTTTTGCGTTTGACAAGGCTGTCAAACTCGCGACGATTGGCAGGCATGACTGCAGATTTAGCGTGTAAAATGTCTTCTTGTTTGTGTCAAGTTTATATTATTCTATTGCTGTTCAAACACAAATGAGATATTCTATACACTGGAAACATAGAGTACATTTTACTTTGTCTTTGTCTCGAGCAAAAAAATTATAAAGATTAAACAGGCATTCAAAAATATACAACAACCATGAACATCTCGTTATAATTTTCTTCGGGAAAATCTTCAAGTTTCAATGGAAATCTGGCGCACGCGCAACAAATTTCCCAGCTGCTGTAGCCCGTGTGCAGGCCCAAGGGAGCAGGCTCAAGGGAACTTGATAGTGGGCCTGCAAGCAAGGCCCGGTATTTTGTACTTTCCGCGTTCGCCCACGAACGCGGCATTCTGATTGGCTGTTTGCTGTTAGATTCTATAATTAGATAAGTGATTCATCACAAAGGCTCTCGATATGCTTAAAATTCGAAAATTGATCACTTTTTTCGATTATAAATGGAACAAGAACAGACTGTTATTGTTTACTTGAAGGAAGAGATGTTTTTGCCGTTATGCCAATGGGGATTGCTTGTCGTGAGGTGTCGGAATATCACTCATTACGACTGGGGTAAACTATAGTAACCTTTACTTGAGTTTCATTAATTTCAAACAGACTTGATACGTTATATGTTACTCAAGAAAATTATCTTTTGGTTGATGTTGAGATGCAGTTGCATTTAAGCCTATTCGAAACACTTTGCGATTTACAAGGCTTCGCTGAGAGAGCGAACCAGAAGACGGTATTAAATTGCCGTTTGAAACGAAAAGATCTGGACTCTGAATGCTCTCTTCTTTTGTAGAGTTCTTTACCACATGAAATAACTGAAATAAATTTCGTACTTCCGCCGCCAACAAGAATTGCACACATGATCTGATAAGTGAGACAATTTATTTATGACAATGGCAACAGCGAAGCACCATTATAAATGCTAATGTGGTCGCACAACTTCCCTCACGATTTGAAGTTTGAGACTGGTTTTCTGTTGAAATTCGTCCTAATTTGCCTGTTCCGATTTTAGTTGAAAATGAGCACTTGGAAATTTGGCAATTACTGACTGCGTTGCTTGCTTTTTTGGAGTTAAAACCCAGCCATTTACACATTGCTTATATTCTCAATAAGCAGAGAAAACCCCGCAACATTTTAATATTTGGGTGCTGTCATTGGTTCTTTTTTGACAATTGATGCGTGAATGGGGCGTGTTATGAAAAGGGGCGTTTTACAAAATACCGGGCCTTGCTTGCAGGCCCACTATCAGTTCCCTTGGGCCTGCACGCGGCTACAGCTGCTGCTGTTGTGGTGACCCTTGCCCTTGTGGCAAAGCTAAATAAATACCCAACAATACAAATATGCTAATTAGTCAAACTGTTTTACAGAAGTCTTATGTAGATATTGGTGCACATGAAAAATGTCAACCTATGTATTTTCCCAAGTGCTACCAGAAGAACTTGAAGATGTTAACCAAATCGTAGGAGCAGGAACATTTGGAGAATGCCTTCTCAAACAATATTTGCGGTTAGGAATACATGTTGTTGAGAAAACAATTACTTTATGATGAAGCATATTACATGCAGTTATTTTCACATTGATGTGTGCTTCATCTGATAGGAATCCAGACCCAAATAAAGCCATATTCTCTCATCATGGAATTTCTTGGACATGGAGTGGAATCTATGACAGTGCACAGGTTACTTTTCGATGCTGTATTTAGTGAGCAGAAATCCAGAATGTTGCTTCCAAACTGGTTTAGAGTATGCTATGACATAGCTGATGCTTTGCATTATATTCATGAAAAGGAATATTTGCATTGTGACTTGAAGTTAAATAATGTTTAGGTTTCCAACCAAAAGGGTTATTTGATTGATTTTGAAAAAGTCTGTAAGGTCAGGAATCCAAGAGCAAAGAAATATAAAACAGTATATCCCCATATTGCAACAGAAGTACTTAATGGTGATCCAGTCAGTAAGCCATGCAGTGATGTGTTTTCATATGGTAAAATCCTTAAGACCATTGGTGGGTAGCTTAGAAACAAGGAACTTCTATCAATGGGGGATAAAGCTTCTGAATCTTTACCAAATAGGAGACCAAGCCTTATAGGTATAGGTCTCCATCGATGGCTAAAAATTATTAAAAATTATTCAGTCATTGTGAATCATCACACTTTTAATGTAAATATAAGTAGCTTAATTTAACAAAAATCTTAAAATTTTAATCCACAGTCACAGCGAAAACTTCTAAGCTGTCAAGATTTCTGTCTTTGGGCAGCTGGCTATCACAATTTCTGTCTTTCGGCAGTCAGTTCAAGCTATTCTGTGTACATAGTAGCTTAATTTAACAAAAATCTTAAAATTTTAAATAGCAAGAACTTCTAAGCTGTCAAGATTTTTGTCTTTGGGCAGCAGTAAGTTATTCTATGTACAAATTAGCTTAATTCAATAAAAACTTTAAAATTCTAACCCAGCCATTGAACAACTTCTAATATCTGTAATGATGATGATAGTAGACACAACCTTATTCAAAAGCCAAATATTTGCAAAATTATAATCAGAGCTATTGGTTCATTGACATTGTCTTGAACATATTAGCAGTAGTGACTAGTGCAAATTTATACATAAAATATTCAGAAATATAAAATTCATAAGCTTAGCACTGAGGCAAACTGTAAAAGTGTTTGTGCTCACGCTTTTTCGTTTGTCTTTGTCTCTATATTAGCATGAAACTTTGAAGCCATCCAAATTCAACACACATGTTTACTTTATATAAATATATTATGGTATTCAGGTACAGGTATTGTCAGTACAATGGATGACTGTTCTGAATGAATTGTCAAAAGCTATGGTCACAAGCTACGTTAATGTAAAATTGACATACCTGATAAGAGATTCATATTTTAGATTTCTGTTTAAATTTCTTGCCATAAAATGCGGTCTTCCAATAATTCGAAAATATATTTTAAAATATGTTGTGTCTCACTCCTTCCATCGCCATTTACGGCTGCTAAAAATGTAGGTGAAATGGCAAATGGACTGCGCTTGACCTAGACACATTGGAACTAGGTCGAAACAAAACTTGACCCATGCATTAATGCACTTGAGATTGTCATTGCTGTCTAACAGTTCTTTCTGCAATGGCTTGATGTATATTTTGCATTGTCCTGCAACTTCTTTTAATGTTGTGGCAGATACGGGTGTTTTAAATGGCAAAACGATGAGTTTTCACCAGAACGGTCAAACAAGAACAACTCGTAGCCTGCAGAACATAGCTTTGGAAATGCTTCCAGTAACTTTTCATGTAAATGTGAGCTGTTTCCATCAACATGAAATGTCACAGTTCCACCCCCCAAGACCTGCATTTGCCAACATGGTTCTTTCTTTAACCCACTGAGACGCACTGCACCCTGATGCACCCTACTTTAGTATTTTACTCTGTCTAACGCCAGACAATTTTACTCTGTCTAATGCCAGACAATTTTACTCTGTCTAACGCCAGACAATTTTACTCATCAAGGGGAGAGCGCTGGCGCTTAATGGGTTAACTGGCCCCAAAACGCTTCATGTGCTCATTCACCTGTGCATTTCCCACAGCAGTTGATAACGAAATTCTTGGCAGATTATGTAGTCTTTATATAATAGTTTAATAATGTGTGTAAGATAATAGAACCCGGATGACCACAAGGGACGGGACCTGGTTCAGTTTGTAAGCAACGACTTAAGTAAGCAATAAAAAGCTAAAGACAAAACACCACACTGGCGACAAGGGATTGAGATCTAAGTCCCCACAATCGATTTTCGCAATTAAACATTAACAATTGTTGAATAAAATAAAGGAAAAACGAGAAACATGGCAGTAGCTTTACCGCATTTTGCTGAATTTGATGTTCATTCAGATGGTGCAATCGGCATTCGTTGGAAGAAATGGCTCACTCGATTTAAAAACCTCCTGCTAGCATTAGACGTAGACGACACTAAAAGACAAAGAGCTCTTTTACCGCACTATGCTGGAGAAAGCGTCAACGAAATTTTCGAAACATTGCCCAACACAGACGCTGGAGAGGATGAAGACCCGTTCGAAAAAGCAGTGACGGCATTAACAAACTATTTTACCCCCAAGAAAAATCGAGAATACGAAGTATACGTCTTTCATAAGGCCAAGCAAGAAAATGGCGAAAACATTTCTGCATTTCACACACGTCTGCGACAACTAGCGATGAATGGTGAGTTTGCTGACACCGACAGAGAAATTAAAACCCAAATTGTGCACAAACTTCGTATGAAAGCGTTACAAAATCCGGAACTTACCTTAACTCAGCTACTGGATGCCGGTAAAGTCCCAAGCAGAAACCATCAAAGAGAAAACAAAACGTCAACAAACTGTCGAGGAAATACACACGATGAGCTTCGAAACAAAATCAAAATGGCAGGCATGTTGACAGAAATTCTGATGGCGCGAAACAGCCGACCGGAATTTCGTACTCAGCGAAAGTAGAAATGCTGGAACTGTGGTAAAGGATACCCACACCCGGGCGGAAAAACATCGTGTCCTGCCTATGGAAAAAGTTGTCGAGGCTGTGGAAAGCAAAACCACTATGAAGCCGTGTGTAGATCGAAGAAACTCAACAAGAAACAGGATATTAAAACTCAAAAGCCACGGCACAACGTTCAAAACTTTGTTGATGAAAACTCCAGACTCAGACGAAGATGGCTATGCATTTTCTGTGAACAGTACCAGTAAGGAACAATTGCAACCAATGTTCAACATTGTCATTCACGAAACTCCAATGACAATTATGGCTGATTCTGGTGCCAGCGTAAATGTGTTGGATGAAAAAGACTACCAAGCCCTATCCAAGCGTCCCGAGCTTCAAACAACAAAGGTGAAGATACATCCCTACAAGTCCAACAAGTCATTAAAAGTCTTGGGAAATTTCAACACGAAGTGCGTGGAAGACAAACTCTACGTAGTCCAGGGATCCGGTGGTTCGCTTCTTAGCTGGAAGACATCGCAAGAACTTGGACTCTTGAAAGCGGTGCACAACGTCAATGATGATAGCTCCCCAACAACCAAGAAGCTGATCAAGGAATACGACGAACTATTCCATGGACTCGGAAAATTGAAAGGGTACCAAATTGAACTCCACATTGACGAGAGTGTTCCGCCAGTAGCACAACCCCCCCCCCCCGCAGGGTTCCGTTTCACGTACATCAGCAGTTAGAGGAACAACTAAAGTGAGACGAGGAACTCTGAGTTATCGAGCGCATCGAAGGCCCCACACCAAGGGTATCGCCTATCGTAGTGGCACCCAAACCAAAGTCTCCTGGAAAGGTTCACATATGTGTCAAGCAAATCAGGCCATCAAACGGGAATGCCATGTAACACCTACAATCAAAGAGATCATTGGTGACTTGAACGGTGCCAAAGTTTTCAGCAAATTAGATTTAAACCAAGGATATAACCAACTCAAGTTAGCATCAGAGTCATGGTATATCACCACTTTTGGCACACATCTGGGACTAATGCAATATAAGAGATTGAACTTTGGCATTTCAAGCGCAGCCGAAATTTTTCAGAATGTAATTCGTGAAACTCTCGAAGGCATCCCCGGAGCTCTCAACATTAGCGACGACATTCTGGTGTTCGGAAAGATGCAGAGCGCCCACAATCAAAGTCTGGAAGAGGTCTTCCAGAGGCTCAAAGAACGCGGTCTAACATTGAACAAGCACAAGTGCGAGGATGGCAAAGACAAGCTGGAGTTCTATGGTTATGTCTTCTCAGGAGATGGTATTGCACCAGACCCTAAGAAAATTGACGACATCGTCAACCTACAGACACCAACATCTGCATCCGAAGCCTATTGGGAATGACCAATTATTGTTCCAGATTTATCCCGGACTATGCAACCAAGACCGAACCATTATGCAAGATGACCTACAAGGATCAACGTTGGGAGTGGACATCGCAGCATGCGCGCGCGATTGACCAACTGAAAGAAGCCTTGGTGAATGCACCGGTTACAACGTACTTTGATCCAAACAAAGATACTGAAATCTCGGTCGACGCCAGTCCTGTTGGATTAGCTGCCATTCTCTCGCAAGTGGACAGAAAGACCGGTACCCACCACATTGTCACCTATGCCAGTCGTTCCTTGTCTGAGACAGAGCAGCATTACAGCCAGACAGAACGCAAGGCCCTTGCCGTTGTCTGGGCCTGCGAACATCTTCATCTGTACATATACGGAAAGCCTGTGACAATCTATACCGATCACAAGCCTCTAGTGTCCATCTATGGCAACCCAAGTTCTAAACCTCCTGCAAGAGTAGAGAGATGGGCTCTCCGACTTCAGCCTTACCAACTGACAGTCTGTTACCGAAAAGGAGAAGGAAACCCCGCAGATTACTTGTCACGCCACCCCTCCAAACAACCAACCACAGCTAGCTGAGTACAAAAGATCGCAGAAGAGTATGTTAATTACATCACCGTGACCTCAACCCCAAAAGCACTAACGGTCCAGGAAATTGAAGAAGCTACCAAAGCTGATGCGACCTTGCAAGCAGTATCCAAGGCAACCGAGACAGGTAATTGGCAAGAAGGACCTAAGCAATCGGATGTGGACAGCGTAGCTTATACCGCGTGGCAGAAGGTAAAAGAGGAGTTGTCAGTAGGTGTGACAGCCCAGATAATTCTTCGAGGAACAAGAATAGCTGTTCCCAGAAAACTACAAGAGCGCGTAGTAAACTTAGTACATGAGGGACACCAAGGAGTTGTGAAGACAAAGTCACTTCTGCGTGAAAAGGTATGGTTCCCTGGCATCGACAAGTTGGTAGAAAAGAAAGTCGAGTCATGTGTGTGTTTGATCTCAACTCCAGAGTCTAAACGTGAACCTCTCAAAATGTCTCCACTACCGAAAGCCCCATGGTCAGAAGTTAGCATGGATTTTGCGAAGCTTCCAAACAGCAAGTATCTCCTGATATAATTACAGATGACTATTCAAGATATCCGGTCGTCGAAACGGTCAAGTCTACTTCTGCCAACACGGTGATTCCGAGGGGAGACAAAGTGTTCTCTGAATTTGGAATACCTGAGCACAGACTGCGCAGACTCTCGGTTTCAAGCATGGAAAGATCACTCCTCGATGGCCAAGAGCAAATGGCGAGGTCGAGCGATTCGTGAGAACAATAAAGAAGGTGGTCGAGATGGCGACAGTACAGCACAAGAACTGGAAACAAGAGATGCATCGTTTCCTCAGAAACTTCAGAGCAACTCGTCACACATCGACATTGTTTGGTCGGGCACTAAAAACAAAGTTACCCGAGTTGAAAAAGACTTTGCAAGACCCAGCAGTTGAGGGAAATGATCGCCAGGCGAAGTCAAGGATGAAGAGATATGCTGATTCCAAAACCTATGTTCAACCCTCAACAATCCAGGAAGGCGATACAGTGTTCGTCAAGCGTGATGATTCGAAGAGAAAGAGAGATATACCCTACCGACCTGATTCATATGTCGTTGTACAGAAGAAAGGATCCATGGTGACAGCAAGAAATAACAACGCAACGATCACCAGAAATTCTTCGTGTTTTAAGAAAGCGCCCAGCGACAATGGCGATGATGAAGAAGCGAGTGACGGAGAAGACGCCGGTGAACAAGAGTATGAACCCGATGCAGCGGCAGTCGAAGCCCCTGAATCTCGCTATCCCAGAAGAGTGAGAAAGCGTCCTACCAGATATGGAGAACAATTTCATTGATGATGCGGAGAACGCTAATTTAGGTTCTTATATAAGACTTTATTTAGTTTTGTTGACATTATTCTTACATATGTTTTCCCACTTAAGTGACTCTAAGGTCGGACACGAAGTAACGTTAGTTTATGGAACTGCATAATTCTGGTTCTGAACGTTTAATGTTTATAGGTCTTTTCTTTTAAAGTTGGGAGGGATGTAGTGTTTATATAATAGTTTAATCATGTGTGTAAGATAATAGAACCCGGATGACCACGAGGGACAGGACCTGGTTCAGTTTGTAAGCAACGACTTAAGTAAGCAATAAAAAGCTAAAGACAAAACACCACAGATTGTTTGTCTGGTTGGACAGTAGTTGACTGTGATACTCCAGGCTGTGTTTGGTGACTTTGGTTATGCCTGCTTGGATTCTCTACTTGATTTGCTAAACAAATTTTGAAATAAAAATAGTAAGTATAAAATACATGCAAACCCTGCCTTGCTGACAAAACCATTGTATCAGGGGACAACTTCAATTTGCCTGATTTTGTTATAAACATATGAATGAAAATGACATAGTGTGGTACTCCACAGATTTCCTTAACACCCCAGACATGGCATGAAGCCAAGAACAATAACCCCAATAATTGTCAACCCTACATGCTTTCAATTTGCTATTTACAGCGGTCTTTCGCAGGCTATATAAGGTCACACCCATAGCATATAATTATCATTTCAATCGAAGAGCTGAAGGAAAGCACATCACAGCAATCTACAATGGCCACTTGTCAGAATTTGACTCACTCTGGACTTTCGGTTCAAGTTACGCAAGCACCTCAAGATATCTCTTCCATCGTGCAAGCACCTACGGACACGCCGAGTCAACCAGAAAGTGCAGCTATAGATAACACTGACATGCCACCGCTGGAGGTTTGTGTTCTTTTGCTTAATTTTAGTTCCCTTGTGATTATGACTTACTATGCCTACGGGTTCATATTCAGGTGGCAAATCCCTTCCACTTCGGCTGTGTATATGTTTTCCTCTTCCGACTTTCCGTCCGCATGACTATACATTAACCATATCAAATTTTCGTCTAGCTGCCCTTGTTAATTTCCCCCTATATTTCGTATAGCGTCGCTAAGTTCGGTTCAAATTGTACAGATCTCATTTTGTACGGAGTGATTCCCTTTGTGTATTAATCGTCGGTTATGTTACCCCTCACCGTTTATATATATTTTGTTATGGTATTTACTTCTTATATTTACGCAACTGAACTTTAGCTTGCATGTTTAGATACTTGCACCCTTATCGTGCCGGCGGAGCTAACGTTTCGCGCTGGCCTTTTTAACACCCTGGGTGTTTTGGCTTTCTTATGTTGCCTTATTTTGAGTTGTTATGCATACGCATGAGTTAACATATGCTTTTGATCCTCATTGTTCATGATTTACCATTACTTAGAATTTATTAGCCTAGATATACAAGGCCATTTTGCATGATTCATTCATCTTTTGTTTGACTTAATTGTTTTTTCCTTGCATTTTCTTGATTCATTTTGTTGTTATTTTCCTTGTGTTTAAAGTGTTCGGCGATCTTCCCGCTAAATCTCCCGCGTTAAAGCTTTGTCTAGTTACAAAAGATGTTGGGTTTTATATATTATTTGCATGAGACATACATAATTATTACCTCACTAGTATTTTCCTTGGGTTTGTTTATGGTTTTATTTATGTCTGAGCTTTAGGTTGCAAGCTTTCCTTTTCCATGATGGTTTATTGCAAAATTTCTTTATTTACCCGAGACGTAGATACATCGATCTATTTCTAGCCTATAGTTTATTACCAATTGACCATTTTTCTCGTGCTCATTTATCCTGTTACATGGGTTTTATGTGCCAATTGCTGTGTACGTTCAAGCGAGACGTTTTGTTACCAGCCCATGCTAATTTCCTTTTCTGTTTGGTATATTCCTCCTTATTGTATCGACTTTGAAATTTCCCGCTTATTGTAATTCCTAGTAGGTCTTCTGCCCAAACTCATATGTTTTGGGGATTTCCCAGCTAACCTATGGCGGTGCTTGGAAGGGTTTCTTACCACTCTCTTGGAATACCGAGCGCCAGGGCCGCCATCCCTGGGGCCAGTTTTTCTTGTTTACTTATAATTGTTTCTCTCTCCCGGGGGGACGCCCCCTGACCTCAGTCCTTTATGGGCATGATTTTATATCACAACCCCTGTGGTGTTGTTACATGACTTCAATGCTTACTATAGGCCACATTCCCTTAACATGATTTTGTATTGCCTTTACGCTTTTGTGTTCATATGAATTCGTTTTTTCCCTATTCTAATTTTATGTTATTTACTCAGTTTCTGTTGTCAATATTTTAGCTGTATCATTTATTTTGTTGTATTTCCAGACTGAGAGCCCAGTCACCCAACTTCAAAAGCGCGTAGGGGCGCTGGAAGCAGTCAGTAAGAACGATATTGAATCACAACTATCAGATCTCTTGTTGTACGCCCTCCAACATACCACAGATTTTGACAAATATACAGCCAGGCGCGGATCCAGTGGTTTTGTTGACTGATGCACTAAACCTTGCATTTGTAGGGAGGTCTGGGGGAATCCTCTCCCGGGAAATTTTGAAATCTAGAACCTCAGAAATGCGATTTCCTGCGTTTTCTTCGAAGTTCACACATCAAAATCGAAACGTAATTTGCTGGATTTTCGGGGAAAAAACATAAAAAAATCGGTTTATAGAGTGAGAACAACATAATCATGTGAAAACATTTTTACGCGGAGTTTTATCAGATCGAAACTTGACTAGCCTTATTTATTTGATCCTATTTGAGTGAGAATTATAGAGTAGCAAAGTTGTAGCTATAATTTACAATATTACATACAAGGGTACACTACTTACATGTACACAACATACTGATAGAATCATTGAAAGCAAAACCACAGACATTTTTTCCGTGTGTAAAATATGGTGCAAATGACATGAAAAGCTGATCAGGGTTGTGTTTCTTATGCAAAATAGATAAGAATACTTCAAGCAAACTATTATATTCATTGCCAATGATATCACTTCCTGTAACTTATCACTTCCTGTTACCAGTTAACACCAATCAATATAACAATGTTCCAGGTCAAATGCCTTCCAGCAGCAGCACCCATGACATAAATTCCAGTTAAATTATTTTAATAATCCAGGATTAATTCCAGGGCAACTTTGAGTTACTACTGTATATGAAGGCCCTCTCTGGAGCTAGTCACTCTAATATTTATGGATGCATTTATATCCAACATTTTGATAAATGCAGTTTGAATTTTTAAATACTGTAAGATTATCAAAGTATTCAAGGGTGTTAGGTAATAGTTTTCATTGTTGCTGAGCAGTTAATAATAAAAATAAACAATTATTGAAGCTATTTGCAGCAAATAGATTATTCTACTGTATTTGAAGTCTGGATATCTACAATACATTGACCAATATATCTCCACAGATTTTGCATTGAATCCCAAATTACAGTACATTCAGGAGAGTGTCTAGGACTACTGTATGTATCCAAAACTGCTGTTTCAAGATATTAAGGATAGACAGGGAGAAGTGTAGTTATGGACTTGGCAGGTATCTGATTGAATGAGCAGGATTGACAAGCTTCAGTAACAGTGGAAGTGCAGTATATTGTGATCAACTCAATTAGTACATTGACGTATCAATGAAAGTGAGATAATTTATCAATTTATACATCAATGTATTCTATGCAATGACCCTTTGTTCTATTGAAAATAAATGGTAGAATGATCAGAACAGTCATTTGGTCCCATAACTGCTAATTAGACTGGTACATTTAAAATGAACACCTTGTGCTGAGCCATGGTCATGAGAATGGTATAATTTAAAGGCATATGAACAATACCAGGAAAAGCATCACAAATTTAAGGGGCTGAACTTGAGAGAGCCCAGCTAAATTTATTCCCTTCCTAAACATGTGAATCCCCTTTATTTTCAGCATCACAATAATTTGCCGGTCACCCCCTGTGCCTCTCCCCTCACCTTGGCAGGGGCAACCCTGATACATGTAATGCCATTTAGTGTGATTGATGGCTTCTGGTACTAGGTGATCATTCTGGAACAATAGAGATAATATATAACTGAACTAATCTCACTATCACCAAACATTGCCCTTTAAAATATTGTTTTGAAGCTTCAAGAGCTTCCCAATTCCAAAATGATGTACATACAGGGATGGATTTGGATATGGGAGGGATCTAATTAGGTGCCGGTATTGATGTCGGGTGTGAGCATTGCCAAGGCATGGTGTGTAATCATACAGATAGCAGTGTTTTGGGGAAACAGCACCTAACAAGTAACCGGCCAAGTAACCGGCAGGTGCCAGGAATATAGCTGCTAGTAAGGGTTGCAGGGTCCTAGACAGAGTCCCTTAGACTGTAAGAATCTCAGGGAGAACTTCAAAATATTATGAAGCATCTAGATTCAATTTGCATTTTCAAACAAATTAAGACACAACCTCCCCCCACCCCCACCCCTAAACACACACTATATAATGGCTGAATGGCATATTGAGTGTTTATATGTGAACAGCCAAACCAGGATCATCCATGTTGACATATTTAAAACAGTTCAAATATAATAAATTTTGTAAAATTGTGATATTTATACTACGACAAATATACCAGACTCATACCTACAGTATTTATTATAAATATCAACACACAGTCACACACAGACTCACTCGTTTAAATCTACATCTATAAACACAGTACACAGATCCCAAACATTCCCTTGTGAAATTACTGAAATAGCTGACAAACCTTTTAATTTCGACGGCTTTGAGGCTCAGTGAGTTTGAGTGAACCACCAAAGATCGTAAAATATTTCCATACAATGCGACATACAATGTTCCATTAATACTCCCGCCATTATATAACAATTCGACCATAAAATTTATCACTGACTGTTCTGATTGCGGGCGAAATGCATCAGTCAAAAGCGCATTATTTTGATCGCGTGCTAAACGCATCAGTCAGCATCCATTTCCCAACGTTACGTAGCCATGAAAACAATGGTTTTCGTGACGTGTCGTTGGGAAAACTCGGCCAAAAGACTCGGGACCGATGCACCACTGATGCACTTTTCTCCCCAACGTAACGTAGTGATGCACTGCCGGCCCCAACGTGACGTAGTGATGCATACACTGAGCTGTAATAATAGTGGATGCATCAAACTAAACACACATATGTGGCGAAATAAAGTCGCGACACAAAATCGTACAACTTGATAAGTGCGTTTACATTTTTCATAATATTTTGCGAAATATAGCTTTGTTTACATTCATTCCTGTGAAAATATATTGTTTTAAAGGACTTTGGATCAAAGACAACCAATATTTAAATATATTTTTAATAATAAAATGTTGACAATTCTCGTTCGTGTGAAAATTTTGACTGATGCATCCGCATCAGTCTGGATCCGCACCTGTGTATAGCTATCCAAAGCAGAACAAATTGCCCATGATACGCGTAGTCAACAACATGCTAAAAGCATTTTTCTTGACGTTGCCACCCAGAGCTTACGCAATGGTTCTTCCAATATTTTCGGCATGCAACGCCATCAAAATCACTCCTTGTGTCCCGACAAAGCTATCGAAACTTATGTTGCTATTTCTCGTGAAGTGGGCATAGATTTGACAGACAGCTACCTTTTCCAACCAACAAATCCCAAGATTTGCATCATCAACCTTCCCTTTTCCAGTGCTGCCGCAGAACCTCATCTCAAGACGTATTTATGTGACGCCAACATCGATTGTGGCGAAACGCTTCACAATTTTAGGGCCGGATGTGCCTTAACCCTAGCCGGTTTGGAATTGTTGGATGTCATGATGCACATTGGATGGCGACGCCCCCATACTGCTGATTACTATCTCCAACTCGCTAATGTCATCAGAGCTGGAGCTCCTGCAGAACTCCTTGCATGTTGTCCTTCTACCACTCAGGAAACTCAACAAATTTATATGGATTATAACGCTTTGCGCAACTTCATTGTTGCGTTTCCATCCCCTTCTAGCCTGTCTCAGAAGTGGCCTGCAAAGCCTTAATTTCTCTTCTTCAGGTGTGGTGTTTTGAGGTGTGGTTGCTTTTGAGATTTGGACCTTTGGTGTCAGGGCCGGGATCTGAGAGAGTTTTGGTATACATGTTATGCAAGACAGCCGCAAGAATTCCCATACCTTAAGGAGCATGAGTAAGACTGATGTAAATATATTTACAGTGGTCTTTTGCAGGCTATATAAGGTCACACCCATAGCATATAATTATCATTTCAACCGAAGAGCAGAGGGACAAGTCTCAACACGTGCCATTGCTTCACATTGGTTGGCTTAAGCTCCGCCTGCCGTGTGGCATTTTCGGACTCGTCTCCCACCCTTTCTCCCACCCCAACTTTTTGTTTCCTTTGTGTCCGAAAGCAGCTGCAAGAATTCCCATACCTTAAGGAGCATGAGTAAGACTGATGTAAATAGGTAACTATTTTATGGCAAGAAAACTGTGAAATGAAATCCCATATCGCTATATTGTGTAAATTTAAGGTAGTTATTGCACTTATTAATATTAATTGATATCAGTAAACATATATTGCATGTCATGAATATTTGCATATTTAATTTCGAAATATTCTCATTTTAATAGTATAGTAATATAATCTCACATGTTGCCTCAGCCATTCCACAACCTGTAAAAGAGCACTTGTAGCCGAATTTATTTCATCTGGATTCATACTTTATAGTGTAATTCAAACACTCATTAATAATTCATAAGCTTATTGGCAAATCATGTCAACTATAATATGTCACGTGCAGTGGCTTTAAACCTGATAAAACACTCCTAATTAGTATTCTTTATATAAAGAATACTAATAAGGCAGTATCTATTGTTGTCATGTCCTCATGCGCGCTCGTGTCTTTAAACCTAACAAAACACTCCTGCTCGTTTATTAAACAGTACTTCATCAATGTTCAAAAAGTTCTATAATTTTAATACACATGCTCAGAAGCGATGAAGCAAATTATGCAAATGAGAAAAAAGAGTATAAAAGAAAGCCAAGATTGCCTGGGCTCTAGTAGCGAATGCCAGGTGAGGGGGGTGAGTTTAACAAAGCATTAATTAATATTGGCAGATATTTAATGCGCTGCTATATAACTGCCAATCTTAATTTCCCAAATGCATGTAATGATGTGTTTTCAACATGTTTTGAAACTTCAACATTGAAAATTACTTCAATATCTATACTTCAATGTTGTATTTCACTTACATTTGACATGTTCAATTCTGAAATTAACATCAATGAGGGAAACATGTTGAAATTGAAGGAATGTTAAATTAAAGTAGCATGCTGAAAGTTATATAACTTGCATCTTAGCGTTTTAACTCTTTCTCAGCAGGGTCCATTATGCGTAGAACGTTCTACGGATGTTTCGTTGTTGCGAAATGACAGAAAGCAAATTGGAATATTCTTTTTCATCATCTGAAGAAGAGCTTGACATAAATAATTCGCATGAGGGCAAAGTAGAAAGCATTTGTATTCCGTATCAAGATGAACCTTTGGCAGACACCGATGAGTCGAGCAATGAATCTGATGAGCAGGACGAAGATGAATTATCCCCTTTAACTCTGGAGAGAAGATACGATAAAACTGATCCTGTTGAGTCATGGTATATATAAAAATTATTATTGGATTACTAATATTATGTTATTCAGCCTATACAAGGTGGTCAATAAGAGTATAGGTTTTGTTGTTTTAATATAAGTAAACAAGTCTTAAAAACACTTTTATATTATATGTTTGAAAGCAACATGTCTGTTGAGGTTTTATTAAATACACTACAGTATTAAACAAAAACTTTCTTATAAATGTTTATATCCATGTCTCGTAAATAGAAAACCATTGACGGTTAGTATTATTTAGGTGCGTGTGTAGTCACTACAATGACCGACATTTGGATTGTGCCCTTCAGTACAGATGCTGTCAAGAAGTGAATCCAGTTGTCCATTTGCTGGGATTTGATGGTAGCTGTGAAAAGGTTAAATGTATTACAGAGCATCCTGATTTTGGGCCTATGACCAATAGAGCAGTGCTTACAACTGCTGCACCCATGTTAAAAGATAAACAAGGGAGAGGTTATTGCCGTCAGCCTGGTAAATCTGAGAATGAGTAAGTTACATTTTCTTTTACACTAACTTTGCAAGGCCTGTGCATGCCCAACTCAGTATTTGAGATTGATTCAAGTTACTTCATGTTAAAATTGCAGATTCCTCCAGGCCACAGCATACAGATGGCTGATAAGGTGGTTGTGTGGCTCTTTAGGGTGGGACAACACTCATCCATTACCAGCATGTATCTACCACAGCATAAGGACAATGATACATACAGAGAACAGAACAGGATATGCAACAGCATAATCCAGGAATGATGAGTGACATCACATACTGTGTGTTATTCAATAATTATATGTATTTAAATTATGTAAACTTTTCAACAAAATTAAATATAATGCATGGTGTAATTCTGTGTGTACATTTGCCCATTGCAACACATGGGGAAACATGCATAACCTGGAAATACATGCTTCCGGAAAGTGTGTCACTTTGTTATAGAGCCTCGTTTTTGTGTTTGGGAGGTGGCTTTTAACTGTTGTCTGATACATGAAAATGAGGCTCTATAGCCAAAGTGATGCACTTTCCGGAAGGGTGTTTTGTATTAATTGGCTGCTTATGAGGAAGAATTGGTAAGTAGGTTCAAGCATTCACATCCAATCTGTATCTGATTTACTGTTGCTCGCCTTGTAAATCATATACAGAATGGCTACTCATGCTTTACCTATTATTTTATCCTTACTTTATCATCATCTTTCGGCTTATGCTTCACCATCAACCAGAACATATATTGCTTATCTAATATAACTGTTAACTAGTTATTAATGTTATCAAAATGTCCCTAAGGGCACTTGTTTTGGGGATGACCCTTCATGGGCTGCTGGTACTTCCTACAACATGGGGCCTTCTTTGCAGGCGGACGTTCTTGGGTATTGTTTTGTTGAATGAGCTGTGACTGGAGCTCAGTTTGCTTGTTGACTAGATAAAACAAAATAATAATTTTTAGTCTATTGTTTGTTATTGATATATTTATAATCAAAATACCTGTATTACATTTAGCTACTGGAAATAATTGTCTTAAGTTTATTTCTTTCATATTTAAAGTGTATATGAAATGTAAATTTCGTTATCGGGTTTTTTGCATTTTCTGAAAATTTGGTCTTTTCCGATCATAAAAACACCAACCTTGTTGAAAAATTCGAACCAGAAGTTTGTTAATTTTATGATTAAAGTTCAATTTTTCGACTATCTGCTGGCGAAAGACTGGTACCCAGAGTTCCGGCTATGTGACGTATGCAGTATGACACATCCAAGTGTTTGACTATACAAAAACAACAAAATAACACAAACATCAGACAGTTCCCTTTATATTTCGCTATAAAAATGTCCGATAACGAAAGCTTTGACTCAGAGACAGAAGGGTCAACAGATAATGAGGACATCGCTGAGTTTAGCCATATCAATTTGAGCCAGTCACAGATAGTGACCATGAGGAAGACCAAACGGACGAAGACGGCATTCTTCGTAAAACTCTTGAGGCGAGATTTAAGAAAAATGTAGCTGTTCATTCATGGTAAGTAAAGTTATGAAAGTAATATAATATTAACCTGTCCATCGACTATTTATTACCCTGTTTCGTCTGATATGCGAGTTTATTTTAAGGTGCTCATGTGGACATTGTAGCGACGAATTATTGCAGGACGCTAGAGAATAAAGATGCTGTAAGGAAATTTTGGAGTGCATTGGCAAATTTACGTTGGAGGGCAAGGATGCAGAATGCATCACACAACACCGGGATTATGCAGTAGTCACCCATCGAACAGTACTAGAGACTGCAGGGGCTTTTCCCTCTGATAAGTCAGAGAAAAAGTATCATAAACCAACAAGCAGAACCCAAGATGGGCAAAATGAGTAAGTCAAACTATCAATGTAATTAAATATCACTATTTCTTGTATATATTTATATTCCAAACAATATCTTGTATTTTTGTTATACAGTATGTCTATTTATGTTTTTATATGTATATATGTATATATTAGTACTAATAAGTAATAATAGTGACTCGACTTAATAGCCTTGGCCTTGCGTAGGCAAATCTTATATATATTCCGACCATACATGAGTAACTTCTTTAGTATTTGCAAACATGAAATTAACTACTGACTGCTTATTTAGATATCTTCGAGCAGTGGCATATCGTTGGATAGTCAGATGGGTATTTGGCATGCTCGGGTGGGAGAATTCCAGGCCACTTCCAGCATGTCTGTATAACAGAATAAGGAAGAGATTTTCATCCTCAAGCACCACTGGATACAAACGATCACAGCAGAGAACTTGATTTAAGGTTTAAAGGCCATGCTTGTTGAATTCGTAATGCATAGTAACTCAGACTGCACTGCTTTTATAGGGTTTGAACCTTAGATAGTACAGCTGCAAACATGATTGCGTGTGAGTGCTGGTATGAGTTTCGTGACATCAGGGAAATGTGGTAGCCAAGCCTAGACTCGCTATGTCTATCGCGAAAAACATGCACACGTTTCTTGCTGAGGTTTTCTAGAGGCGAGATAAATACTAATCAAATTCCGGTCTATTTTGTGTACAAAAACACGCAACTAGATGTAATAGATTCTCAATGTGAACTTAACAAACGGTTGTGAGTGAACATATTAAATTAATAAAGTAGAACCCATCATTAGAAGCAGCTATAAGTCCTATAACACTATCGTATTTTACCACACTATATATGCAATTCAAAATTTGTTTGTTTTGGAATGCTCATGTTATGGCATAATGTCAGTAAATGTAGATATTTAATATTAATTTCCATGTTATGCTTACACTAGTTACTACAATGTTTGCCGTAATTAATATTAGCTATAGCCTATCTACGTAATATGCGGTCTGAAACCTACAACATAGACATATACCTAAAACTGTCTGTACCAGTGTGGGTACTACCAATGTGAAAATGCTGTGCTGAGTGGTTATATTACTACCTGAAAAAAAACAAAAAAAAACAAGCAGAAACTCGACGTTTCGGTATTGACAAAGGGCCTTTGCTCGAAACATCAAGTTTCTGCTTGTTTTTTTCCAGGTAGTAATATAACCACTCAGCACAACGTAGACATAGTTTCTCATCTCATAGAATTTGCATTTTTGGCTGCTGTTACATGATAGCAATTATCATGTATATTTTATAACATTTTATATTATGCATTAATACATTTTACTATATTTATATATTATATATCATAGTTTAGTTATATTATATTTACTCTAAAGAATTTACCTATGGGAAATTGTTTTACACACAGGAAGTTCTCTTAGCTTAGTCATACATGAGCATGCAAATATTTTAGTTTATGACGTTACCACAAGTGCATAATGGACAGGAACAGTTACCGCAAGAAGATTGTAAAAATGTTCCCACGAAATGACACTGCAAGAAAAAACGTTCCTCTCTAAACACATATAAGGGAGAGCACAACTCTTATGCACGATTCATTCATAGGCCTCCAAGCCTTACATGTTTCATTCATAGGCCTCCATGCCTTACATGTTCCATTCATGGGCCTCCACGCCTTACATTATTCATTCAATAGGCCTCCGCGCCTTACATTCATTCAATGGGCCTCAGCGCCTTAGTTACATTCATAGGCCTCAGCGCCTTACATGAATATCGTTTTGGAAAAGCTATTATAAAAAAGGTTGTTAAGGAAAAATTGTTACAAGTTATATACGAACGAGTATTGAAGTTAAAAAGTGACGTTACGTGAAGAAGACGAAAGAGTTGTGCTCAGTCAGACAGAAAAGAGATAAGTTGAACTGATATAGTTTTAATTATATAGTAATTGGATATAGTATTATAGAGACACTACTTTAATATAGCAAGTTAAAGAAATAAATAGTTATATAAACATAACTGACTCACACTGATTCTTTGTTGCGAGAGAAATTGAACCAAAACGCGGGAAATATTAATATTAAGGACCACGCTCGTAACACCGCTTATACGCTACAACTCATCACGTTGTAATTAGATTTTATCTATGCATTGAATGCGATGTCTACATAAAGTGGATTCATTTGAATTTTCTTCAAAATCTCTCAAAAACCCAATTCTACCCAGACGAAGCTATGATTTTCATAGCGTTTACATATCGAAAGGTCGCACTGTGTCATACTGCATATGTCACTGGCCACGCGATGGAATGTCAAGAATTTTGCCAGTAGATAGTCAAAAAATCGAAATTTAATGGTAAATTTAACAAACTTCTGGTTCAAATTTTTCAACAAGGTTGGTATTTTTATGATCGGAAAAGACCAACTTTTCAGAAAATACAAAAAACCCGATATCGAAATTTTCATTTCATATACACTTTAAGACATATAGCCTCTGCTTTTGACACTCGATCATCAAATTGTCTGTTGAAAGGATCTGGTATCTTTGTCTGGTATTTTTCGAGCATCTTCAAATGTTCTATGGCCGAGTGATTAAGCATTACTTCTTTAATAGCAGACACATAGTCTGAAATGGTTAAACAGTTGCAAGTTGTTATTATAGTCAGGCATTGATAAAATGCACAGTGTCCGAGCGCCGCTCGCAGGCACCTTTTACATTTTTGCAGGCACATTTTAAAATACTGACATTTTAACAATATTTAGGTCACAAAATCTAAATAAGATGTGTTTTTGCAGGCACATTTTGAATTTCACTCGCAGGCACGAAAAAATTTATCGAGGACTGATTATAGTAGTTAGTTTGCATTAACCTAGCATATTTTTAAGACCATTACAGATATTTTAAAATTCTGCACAATTGAGCTTGCTTGCGTAAATAGTTTACAAGTATCACCCGTGTAATTAAATTGTGATTTTGATAGCTCAATGTATACAAATTGATACATTAATTGGTATGCCTACCGTAACTTTGGGGAACTGAAACTTCTCACACTACTTCCTCTCCTTGTTTGAACTTTGGCCAAGTAACTTTGTAATATATTTATCCATCTTTTCTCTTATGAGCTTTTCTTTTGACATTTTCATTGAAGTAGAGGCTGGCCAAAATATTTCTAAATTGTCAGGATAACCCAAACAAAAAATTGGATCATTCCAAAAAAGTTTTACACCCCACATGGAGGAATTTTCTGCCATCCTAAAGGGGCGGGAAGAAAAAATTGTTTCTGAGGATAGTAAGTGCAAGTATTAGGACATCCAAAGGGAGTAGGGTTGACCTCCAATATCCTCTGTGGGGGAGGTAATGGATTTTTTGGAATGACCCATTAGGTATTTTATGTACAGTATTGTACAACTGTGCAATGCTCCCTATATAGCATATTTGGCATCGTAAGGTTAATCAGACTTTGTAATAGTGTACCTGCAATATCTCCCAAGGGAGGAGAAACGCATCATTTTGGTATATATATATATATATAAAAATAAAAATTAGTTAAATTAGTAAAGATCAACTGATAGCAGCTTTGAAATATATCCCTTTAAATTAGTAACAATACAGGATTTGCTAAAGCAGGTTAAATAGTACAGTATCTTTATCCATTTTCTGTGCTGAATTTCATCATGAGCACAAATTGGAAATAATGAATCTGAATGTCCTGTATGTCGATTGGCAACATGCATCATAAAGGAATTCCACTTTGCCAATATAAGTGCTCTTGGCACACCAATATACATGTGTTTGTACTCCTTTCACCCAGTAGGTAATTCTTTCATAACCCTTCTTTTTGCCAGCCTTCAGCATTTTTTTAGTGATGGATGTGTACATCATAATCAAAGTAAATTATGCTATGCACATTAGTTGACCTGATCTAGCTGTTACCATTGGTGTTCTATCACAGTTCATGGCAAATCCTGGACTAGAACATTGGAAAGGAGTTAAGAGAGTCTTGCATTATATACAAGGCACATCAGACTATGGTCTCATGTACACGTCTGATGGTAAAGAACCTATTTTAGCGGGTTATTCTGACACTGACTGGGGAGGAGATTTGACAATACATACATCAACCACAGGATACATCTTTCAAATACAAGCAAATAGAGTAAGCATGTGTAGCAAGTTACAAGGTTGTGTGTCAAAGTCGACTACCAAAGCTGAATATGTTGCGCTCAGCACAGCTTCCCAAGGAGGAGTTTGGTTCATAGATATCTTATATACACTAGATAGTGCATCTAATTATTCTGCAATTCAAAAATTGAAGCTGTGATTGCAGGCTCAGGATATTCCCATGAAATGAGAAGATTCGTATGTATCCTATTTCTTAAACAGGGAACTTAAACATTAAGTTAATCCTATTATAAATACATTTTCAAACTATTCAAATGATGAAAGTTATTGTTATTTTTAAGTGTTTATTAGCGAGTGGGAAGCTCCAACATGGCCGCGATCTATTCAAATGGGGGTAACCGCTGGAATATTCTTGGCTTCAATTTTACTAAAAGAGATGCGCTATCTAGTTTATATAAGATATCTATGGTTTGGTTAAGAATGCTTGATGATTTTTGGCTAAAACGTACCTGCAAAAATAATTTTCTAACGAAATTGGCGGAAAATGGCGGAAAGTACAGAACAAGAGCTTTACGGCGACTTACGAGCAATTATCGACTGACAGAAATCCAAATTTCTTCTATATTTTGAATCAATCTGCATCGTTATATCTCGGTCAAGGAAACTGACACGAGTCATAACGTCAAAATCAGTTGTCAAGAATAGTGTGCTGCCTACGACAGCAATATTCCTTTTAACCATTTTTTTAATCCTCATCCAATTCCATCACTCCCTCGTCCTCGTTAACGCTGCTGTCTTCGCAGTTGTTCGCGTAACAGTCATGTAGGGCACTCTTGGCATCATTCATTTGCATAGCATTCGTCTTGATATATACAAGCTTCTTGACCTTCTCTGCACCAAGGCGGTTGCGTAGCTTCGAGTGAATGAATCCGAATGTTGAAAAGTTGTGCTCCGATGCTGCGGCTGACACTGCCATTGAAAACACTCGAATAGCAAGATTCTGCAACAACAGCCTATCTGTGCCATCAGCCATCCACCATTGCAACACACACTTCGAGTTGCCAATCATCTGGAAGCGGAATGTGTCCTGCTCTCTTTCGCTGACTTCTTCGATGCGAAATGATGTGTACTCTTGTGCCAATTGATCTCTTCTCGCTGCGGATGTGTTGCCCTCTTCCGCTGGGAAGTTGAAGATGAAATCTTCGATCTTGATGTGAATGTTACGCTGCATTTTATCACCCAAGTATTGAGGATCTAGGAGGTAGCACACACCATGTGCATCCCCGTACATAAATTCAAAACGATTTTTGACTAATTCGGCCAGGTAGGACTTCTCGTCGCCTGTGTAGGGCAAATTACACATCTTGTCTTCCATGTCAAGGAATGTCTTGTAGACGTCGGAGCAAGGTTCTGCATCGCTTCAAGGATCTTGATGCATTTGTCGAGCTTTGTCACGAAATTAGAATCGGTGATAATCTCCTTCACCGAGGCTCGTTTCTGCTGCTGGTTTGCGTTACCCTTTGAGACAAAACTATGGTTGAACACCGAAGCATTCAAAACTGCGTCCGCCACCCATAAAGATTTAAAGCAACCCTGCATCGTACCCCAACATGTAACTAAATCTGCTGTGAGCCAATCTACATTGTGTGACAGCTCTTCAGTATGCACAGCTTCCAGGAATAGTGAACGAGTTGGGCTGACGGCCATGTAATTTACAATTGGCTCATTTAGAACGCTAGACCATGCGTCGCTCATGATGGAGATGTATTTGCTGGATGGTGGATAACAGTTTCTTCACATTTTCTTTTGTGTTACTGTAGCACATCTCGAGCAAACTGCCGCTACTGTCGTCTGCTAACTGCTTCCACGTCGGCAACTGTGCACCAGGCTGTGCCAACTGAATGGCTTGAAGAAGATGGGGATCTTCGATTCGCACGAAGCTTGTACCGGTACAATAAAAATGCATAGTCATCTCAAGGTTGAATTTTTTCTGCTCACCGGCGGTAAAATGTGGGATGGCAAACGATCTTACCTGCAAACGATCTTACCGACTGCAATCTCGCTGAGGAACTTGTAGAGGCGGTCACCCTCGGTTTATCGGTTGTCTTGGTTTTATTCCACCAGTCCGGGCGTTCACTTACAGGCTTGTTCAACATCAGGTTCATAAAAGGCCTGCATTTGCGGAGGTGCCTTTCAACTACGAACGTTTTGTGGTGGTGTCGAAAAGACTGTTTGCAATGCTTGCATGCAGCGTTGTTTGGACTTCGCAGTGAATAAGCCTCCGGATCGTCGAAGGCAATGCTCCAAATTGGATGAGGAGCCTCTTCTTTGTGGCTGTGTGTGTCTCCATGGTCATCAGCGGCGCTATCTTGAATATATGCTGAACTTTCAGCACTGTTGCTCATCATGCTAACCGGAATTACCCAATAATTAAATGACGGAATTACCCAAATTTTAATGCTATAAGCTGGCGACATGCTCACATAAAGATCAGCTTACATCTGGTAGTTACATCTGAATTTACCCACTGATAAGTGATAATTTCCTTAAAAGACATTATCGGGATAGGGGAGAAAGAGGGATCGGAACCCTGTATTTTTGGCAAATTGCAAATTTTCTTAAGGGGGCTGTCAAGTCCGTTCTGCACATGTGCTATACACACATGTGCGAGAGTGCATACACATGTGCAAGAGTGCATGCATGCACATGTACCCTAGCATGGAATATCCTTAAATTCCGCATTGTTTGACATCTTTTAGATTGAAATTGTTTTCCATATTATTTTAAAAGCCCAACGAACGAGAATGATAACAAGTATTAAATAGAAAACAGGTTTTTATTTGAAAAACTCACTTGTGCATGTTATATCCAAATTGCACTCGAAACCATGCTATTACCTATACTAATAGAACATTAGAACATAAAAAATTTAAAATAATAAAAGAAAATAAAAGAACAAATTTGGCAAAAAAAATGTTCTTTGTAATAATTATAAGAATCAAAATTTTTTTAAAGCTGTTATGCATGGTTAATTAACCAGACAGTACAGTACAGGCTGTGTTATATGAGCCATGCAGAGAATTTCCACATACATGTAGCTGGTGTTTCAATGTACTGTTAAATCATTATGTGGTAACAAATCTTATAATCCCCTCCAAGGTAAAATTCAAGATTGATTTTCTTGCCATCAACATTTATTTCTCTGGTTGCAATCAGATCATTAATTTCCTTGAAAAGATTTTCACCAGCAGTTTGTTGCAGCACACCATAGTCCTCTTTACCACTGAGAATTGCAATTGTGTGAATACCTTAATAATTCATTGAAAACATATACAAATGAATATATATATAAATGGTGTGTCCAAGTATCAAATATATATTATTCACATGTCTATACTTGCCCTTTGTAGACATGACTTTTTCTCCCTCAGATAATAGAGAAAATGACAAAACAACAAAACTGGACTTCTGGACATTTTTGCTCCACAGAGGTGGATTCAGGGTCTCAATCTGATCATAGCATTATGGATGAAATAAACATCGCGAGTACCATTTCCTGCATTCTGAGCATCGAAATTTGATTTAAAATTTGTAGAAAAGTGCCTGTTTTTCACACCAAAATAAGAAAAAAGCGCACAAAAGTGACAAACTTTTTTCATCAACATACCACTTCGAACAACAGATTATCTTGAAAAAAGCAAGATAACAGTAGTTTGAAAGTTTTCAAATGTACATCATCTTGAAACAGCAGCTCAACAACAGTTAGGGAAAACGTTTATCTGGTTAAGCAGCAGCATATATAGATCATCCCGAAACAGCACACAGGACAACGTATGGCAGTCAGGAAAAATATTTTCTGTACTGTATATAGATTATCTCAAAGTTAGGAAAAATGTTTATTTGTAGATCGCCTTGAAACAGCAGCACAACGGCAATTAGGAAAATGTTTATTTGTATATGTTTAAATGTATCAAAATTCATGCAGTACTGCAGGAATTCGCGAAGAGCTGGGTGCACAAATTTTAGTACTGCAGGAAATATAGTTCACGCGAAAAGTTTTGCGGTGTAATACGAGACACTCATTGTTAGTAAGTAATGCAAATCAGTTGATATATTAACGCATATGTGAGCGCCGCATTGGAAGAGCCAGAACAAAAAGAGGATCCATTTGAACTCTAGCTAATATATTGTTTGACTTACCCAATGGTCGGGACCTGACCATTGGAATGTTATTAATATTTCGCGCCTTCCGAACTTTCTTGAATTGAATGTCTAGTCTGTATACATAACGAACCAGAAGAGTGTTAAAAATTCAGTATAATATATATATATATATATATACACACATGGCATGCCAATGGCTATCAAATAGTGTGAGTGGCCATTGATATTGTTCTGTATTTTTATAATAATACGTTTCATCAGTAAAAATATGGTAATATATTCGATACGAATGAACTGTGTAAACAATTCGATGTTATTTGATATACTGAGGCTGAGACTGACCACAGGACTGACCTGACACGGAGGTGATTCAAACAGCGCTGTTGGTTCGCATTGCGGGAAATGCAAATTATGCCAAAAATTGCACACCAAAAGCTTTCGATCAGAATTCTTTCACGCGCCTTTTCGTTAAATGAAACACGCTACATTTGTTCATTATACACATAAGGTCATGGAGTAGATCTGTAGTCCTGTAGAAGCCATATCTTTCTCCTTGCAACGAGCGGTGATTAACATTTACCGACTATTCGATTACAACAAGGAGCCTACATGACAATAACAAGCCAGCATCACTCTGAAGTTGATGCAACTATTGCAAATGGTGTAGCATTTTGCCCCATTCTGATTGGCTTGCTTCGTCTGACCATAGCTAACCAATCAGCATGCCGTATTTGTGAATTTTTGCAATGGTCAGTTTCAATCTGACCACTACAAAAATTTCCAAATACAGCACTATGATTGGTTTGCTACGGTTAGATGAAGCAAGCCAATCAGAATGAAGTAAATGCTACGGTTTGCAATGCATTGCGCCGACTTCAGAACGATGTGATATAGTATTGGTGTAAAACCCGCAAATACAAGCAGTATTTCAGGCAGAAATTTGAGAAAAAGCCAAACTTAATTATCCAAAATGAAATAACTATAAAATTTTATCAATATAATTTAGTAAATTTGAAAAAAATTGCACCAAGTTTCAATGAAAAATTGAAAATATCAGCAATTAAAAAATAGTATAACTTTTTAGTTTTTAAAATAACTTTAAAAAGGTACACCCTGGACAAATATATCTCGGGGGGAAATCTGACCATAGCATATGCTACGGTTGCAACGGTCTGAATCTGCTCCATCCCCACTTATCTTCACTCTTTGTCTCCAAGCTTCTCCATCTAGACGAGTGTTGTTAGAAAAAGCTTTAAAATGTAGCCAGCAGGGGCATTGCTAGTCCTATTTGAATAAGGGAGAGTGTAAGTGAAATTTTGCCAATTCCACTACTGGGGGGGGGGGGGAGAAATTAAAGAGGTAAAGAAGGACATTCTGACAAAGATTTTCTGGACAGTATTATTTATAGTCTCCCTTAACAATTTTGTATATTTCCCCAAACTTGGGCTATAATTAGTATAGTAAGACTACATAATATATGTCATCAATAGCAGTGTAACAGTTTTTACTGGGGGAGGGACTAATTCCATAAACTATTCAAGGTGTAATGTAAGCTTAGGATAATAAGGCAACTTACTTTCTTTGAAAGCTGATGGTTGAGTTCATCCTTAAAACTCAGCTGTGCACTAGGCCATTCTCCAGGAGTTATTGAAATACTAAAGATTTGTTGAGATCTTGTCTACTTTTTTTATCAAATAGCTGCAAGGAAGACCTTCATTGTTTGTCATGCTGAATTCATGATATGCAGCATCACTTACACAAAACTTGTCCATAATGTAGACCACATTCCTGACCTTGTCTGTCCTTCTCTGAAAGGAAATGATATGCAGACTTTTTCTCATTATTGTACTGCAGAGTCACCTTTTCCCCACTTTGACAATCACTGAGAAATAGTTTATCCACCTTAAATCCAAATGACTTAGAAACCAGAGGGCTCTTTCTGAATTACTTTTTAACACTTTTAGCTTTTGTTCCTTCTGGGTGTAGCTTACTTCATTATATATTCACAGTGTTTACAGGAGTCTCTAGCTGTCTACAAGAGAATCCGACATATTCTTTTAATTCATTATTTTGGTTAGATATTTCGGAGTAAGACTGTTCAAGGTCAGCTGCTCGCTGGGTAGTTTGCCCGAGTTCTGTAACCTCCTGCAACAGACTGTCACATCGAGCTTCAAGAGTTTCAAGTTGTTCTGGTAATTCCTTCTCTGCCTCAAGGCTGTTAAATGTTAATTTTACTCAAAAGCTGGCTGGCTGGCGTCTTCTATTTCAGATTGGTATACAGCTAATTTCTTGACTTTTTGAAGTGTCTTTATTCTTGTAGTCCCTTTAGTTCCAGTACATTTCTTGGCAGCAGAGTAACTCAGTTCTCTCAGGCGCGCCTTCTGGTCATAACTTAGCATCCTCTTTTAAATGTAAAGTACAATATGGGAGATTTTGTGAAAGGAAAAGCAAATCCACGTATGACAATAAGGAGGAGTAAAAAACTACTTTTATTTTGTGCCACTAATTAAAATTTCATAGGGCAGAGAGAAAATAATAAACACTTCAAGGTTCAGCTTAGGCTCGTATTCTGCTTGGGCTCGATGAGAGATGTGCCAAAGTTCTACAGGGCAGTGTTCTTTAGCATTAAAATATGCTTGAGCCTTGTTGAATTCGAGCTTTGAGATCTGAATTCTACTGCTTACAAGCTTTAATTTGATGTGTTAGACAATAATTTACTCGAAATGTTTTCCAAATTATCATCTTCCGAATTTTGGTAATATATCGAATGTGATTCTGGCTATTGCCATTATGTTATCAAATGCATAACTTTGGATTTAAAAAGTAAATGTCTATTTAAGCATTATCAAGGTAAAGAGATTTTGAGTATACAGATAATATATTAAATTTAATTGCTTGAGGTTCACATTTTTCCCTGGAACTATCATTTTGTTTAAATATGGAAATTAATTCACATATTTCATCAAATTAATAGTCTCGCGTTTCTTGCATACAAACTTCATGTTCTAAAAGTAAATACTTTTTTAAAGTTTGCCAACAAAAGTTTGGACTCTAACTTAGATTATAAGACTACATTCACACAGGACCGGACTAATTCTCACATGACACCAGACAAATTACAGACCAAAAAGTGTTCACACAGAGCCGGATGAATTTGTGCCCGAAATTATTTACTTGCGCATGCGCATATAAGATACTGTAATTGACTGTAAAAGGCTAAAAGCAGTAAAATTAAAATGGCCGAAAAAACTTTATGTGGACGGACGAAGAAGTAGTGCTACTTCTCAGTGTTGTTAGTGATTATAAATCGGCAAAGGCCGCCGAAGGTGTGGACTGGAGTTCTGTTAAAACAAAGAACGAAGATCTTGTTGTTAAACTTAAAGAAAGATATCCAAAAACACCTTGAGCCAGTTTCCACACACTGGTGACATTTTCAACAAAGAAAGATTATGGAGCAAACTTAAACGAATACGGACAGGTTATAAAAAAGCTTTAGACTCAGGAAGAAGTAGTGGGGGACGGATTGTCACGACGTTTTTTGATCAGTGTTCCGAAATTTGGAGAGGTTCGCCAGCAGTGGAGTGTGTGAAAAATGGGATAGAGAGCTCCAAACAAGATGTTGTTGAAGACGTCGATGCATTGGCAGCAGCTAATAATTCGTCCTTGCCTTCAAACAGCGTCGATTCAGTAGACGAAGAGCTTGATGAAAGTGTAGAAAATGAATCAAATTATGAAGAAGGAAGACAAAGCTTGTTGACCTTCCTGAACAAGAGCAAACAGCAACATCTTATCACACTCATAGTGGAATACACGCTTTTCAGCAGCCTTACTTAAGTTTTAATCAGTTTGATATGTTGGAAAATCTTGAGAGCTCTACACAACCAGTTAGTTCAGTTGGACTGAAAAACATACATTGATTTAATCACACTATTCCTCATCAAATTGTTCAATATCTCAATTTTATTAAAATTCAAATTGAATAATATATGAATTTAATGGTTAAAACTCCTGTTAAATAATTGAATTTTTCTGTTATATCATTCTTCAACATTTATTATAATTAATACCTTAAAACATCGATTATTTGTTGTAAATATTAAATGTGATATAATATATATAGTATGTATATAAAGTGGTTGACAAATATCGAAATATACATGTTAATTTGAGTTGAATTTATAAAACAGGGATTTTCAAATAATTAACCCCATCTATTGTAAATTATTAAAAAAACTCAACAAATGCATTTCAAATATCTTTACTGACAACTTTGGTGCTTTGCTCTCTGATTGAGGGAGTATGCGCAGGTTGAAATTCTTTTTCATACTGTAAGCCACGATCGACACACCCCTGCACCAATACATCATTATTCATTTCACAACAATTGTGTAAAAATGAAACATGCATGGATCACCTGGGGAAGTTCAGCAATGTTGATATCCATCTCTCGGCGAAGGGCACCAAATCTGCCTTTAAGTCTTCCAAAAGCACTTCTATGACTATCCTGGCAGAGCTTAGTCGATAGCCAAAGAATTGTTCTTTTACTGTGTTTCCTCCACTAGGAAATTCCTTCATAAGGCAAGGTAACAGAGGATATGCGGGGTCACCCAAAATACAAACCGGTACTGGTACGGTATCAGGCACAAGGGTGCGATAAAAAATGGGGGGATTGTCCCATTGTTTAACATCTCTTTTAATGCAGAATTGTAAAATATTCTTGCATCATGCACGCTCCCAGGCCACTTAATCACAACATCCGTAAAACAATATTTAAAATCACATACAGCTTGTACATTGATTGAGTGTCGATTCTTTCTATTGATGTAATCAGTTGGATTTTCGTGTGGCTGTTTGATGAAAATATGAGTACCATCGATGGCCCCAATGCACTGAGGAAATCCATGCTTTTCGTAGAACATATTTACTGCTTCTTGTACTTCTTGCTTAGTTTTTGGTAACGTTATGTATTTTGGACCAAGCAAAGCCGATATCACACCACAAGTCCTTCGACAATTCCCGAAACCGTACTCTTTCCCAAACCAAATGCATTCGTGACTTTACAATAATATAAGTTAATAAAGCACAAGATAATACGAGTGACAGCAACTTGCTTTTCAACAGGGTTAGTTTTTCACATATTCGTACTCTTCTTGCGCAGATATGGTTCGAGCTCGTTACACAACTTGAAAAAGTTTACTTTCGATAGCCTGAAGTTTTCTCGCTATTCTTCATCAATCATTACGTTGTCTATAAAATTGTCCCACCATATCGACGTTCGTCCAGCTCTAATCCACATCAGTCTTCTTGGTTTTTGTCATTTTCTCTTGTTGTACATCAGCCATTTTTGGATCACAGTAGCTGCATAACTAAATAATCGTTGTTCATGTTTACATTTTTCTCGATGTTGAGAAATAACTGCCATTTGTACAATGGATATTTGTACAAGCCCAGGTATCTATGACAATAGTGACAAAATGACAGCTACCAAAAAAAACTTTTTTCCCAAGTTTTAAACTTTACATTTTTATTATTTCGCTGTCGAGTGTTACAATGTCAGTTGTTGTTTACATTAAATTGTATACTTCATGTAAACTACTACTTTTGATTTCAAAATGGTCTTGAAAAGCATTGGTTTCAGTGTTCCAGCGAGTCTGTCAAATTTTAAAACTTAACCGGCCGAAAAACAGACGTAGCTTTTTTTGGTCACAAATTTGTCTGGCAAATGATGCTCAAATTCGTCCGATTTCAATGGTCCGTGTGAACGCTAGGCGGATTTGGAGCATGGTCTCGAATTCGTCCGTCCAGTGTGAATGTAGTCTAAGTTTCTTATTCATGTGAGGTTCACAATTTGTTCAAATCGTACTAAAAATCTGTATTTGAAGAATAAATGTTGCCTTGTATATGTTTTCCTGTTATTTTTATTATATAATGCGTGCACTGAAGTAGCCCCAGGGTAGTATAATTAATTCACCTGGTGACGATTTCTGGTGATAGTTCTTAAACAGGTTCTTTATTCATTAAATTTACTTTATGTCAAGCATTATGTACTTGTGGGTTTAGCAGAGTGGTGAGGCATTCAAATTCTAACAATACGATATTTCAATCATTTTGGTTTTCTTGGGGACACCCTGTATGTGGATCAGGCTTTTTTGTTTAAAGGGGCAGTGTCACCATTTGCGCATCTTTACTGTACATAACAAAAAGGTTCGGAAATTGTTGGAAATCGCATGTTACCTATAATGTGCCATTGTTTAGGTGCTATACAGAGCGATGAGTGAAGCCTGAAGGCATTTTGGCACAACATGGTGTGTGGTAAAGTACTTGCATTGTATTTGCATAATTTTAAATCTATTGTGTCATCTGATACTTCATTACATATTAACCTAGGACTCCAATTGTAAATGCAAGAGGTCTTGTTCCGTGAGAAAGAAAGGGGATGGAACCCAAGATTGCCCTTGCAAGGGTAATAATGTTCACTGCACTGAAAGTTTGTCATTGTGGTACACATAGTAAACCATGTAAAAATAAGGTCGTCAAGACAAATATCTTTTCAAAATTGAAAAGAAACTTCAAATGTTCAATATACATCCTGATTTTGTTTCAGGCAGTGACAGAGGATGCTAGCAGACTGATCACAGAAAGCCAGTGTAAAATTTGGCGCAGCACAACAAAAGAAACAGCAGGCATCCAAGCAAGGTTTCTGGCGTAGCCACGACAGTCGGAGGAATTACAAAGAGAAAAGGAACAATGATGTCAAGGTACCTTAGTTAATACAGTACTTTAAAATTATTTGTAAGACAATATTTTTTATCAAATTCACCTTCAGATGATATCAATGTTGTACATCATTCATTTTCTGGCAGTATTTGGTCCCAATTCCACTAGTGATAAGCCATGTTTATAATTATACTGCCTTGTACATGCAATGAGAAAAAATCTTGCCCAAAACATAATTATTAATTGTCGAAACCTGGCATTTATGATTGCAATTTTGCCTGAGTATTCAGAATATAGCCTTATATAAAATGACATTTCCAGAACAAAATCTGTATACAGCTATTTCCATTAAGGTTGTCCCCCAAGCAAAGCGAAAAAGACGAAAGGCTGCTGGGAATCACTAATAAATTCATTAATTTTTTAGCGATTCCCAGCAGCCTTTCGCGCTCATATTCAACTTTTCCGCATTGCTCGGGGACAACCTTAATTGAAATAGCTGTATATACTTTCTTTAATTTAGGATTTTATAGCCACCCTAGATAACATGGTGAGAAAACCAGCTGTGCATAGTCTTTGCCAGGGAATTGGAAGCATGGACTACATCGAGACCTTGTTGATAATGAAAGATGATCTTGATGGTGAAAGTGACACAATGGGTGAGTTTGGAGACCAGTCATCTGGAGAACATGCAAACAGGAATACTAATGATATACAAGGCTGTAGCACCAGTGCAACACAGACGTTCCATACTTTTTCAGTGGACAATTTCAACATTAGCTAATGGTAGGCTTTGACTTTGTCGGTGACGTTCTTCTATTTCAATGATGCAATAGTTTGCTTTTCCTTTGGTCAGTTGGATGACTCTTCCAAAACATTGATCCTGTGCAAACTTTAAGAGATTGACCATACAACTATCGACACGCTTATTAACTTTACCTTTAAGGTAAAGTCGCTTGAAGACAAGATGGAATGCTTCAGTAAACATGTTGGTGTTTATGCCAAGGCCTAACCTGTGACAGAACGCCCATATTTCTTTATTTTGCAACCAATCCTGGATGAAGTAGTCATGGAAATCTTTCATCTTTGGATCTGATGACTATTTGGCAAAGAGGGCACCGGCACAGTTGTGAAAGAGTCTGGTGCTCGTCTGATCTAACACCATTTGTAACATCTTATAAACTTCAGGTTCGAGCGCAGTATCACCGATCTTTTTCTTCAACTCAGCCCGCCAAGCTTTGTCAACATGCCATGTGCAGACTAGTTTTTTTGGCCGTGGTACGTCACTCATAAAGAATTTACTATTTTGGACACCACAATTCTTTTTTACCTTGTTGAAAAAAATGAGCATCGTTGTGAAATCTTTGTGGTTGGAAAGACGCCATGAGACTGGAAACGCCTTTCCAAACTCATCGGCAACAAGAACTGTTGTCAAGGAGAAATCGTATGCATTTGTGCCATGCATGCTATCGCAACAAACGCTATTGGAACCAAACTGTTGAAGCATATGTTTCTAAAGGGGAGTTTGCATCGCAATAAAAGTCTTTGTCGCATAGATTGTAACCGTCAGGGGCTTTCTTACCTTGAAGCTTATAGAAAAGAATCGGGTTGGTTTTGTCATCTTTTTTCCACTCCTCAATCCATGCAAGAACACTTTGCTGGTCATTCATATGGTAACAAATTTGATCCAGCCCGTATGCCTTCTCTATGTTGTTAATGTCCTTCCTATCTATAAGGTGGTATTGGTGTAAAGTTTCTGATACACTCTCTCGAATCTCGTCAAGGATGCGATCTTGATGTATGCCTTCTCGTATTTTCACAGCAATATCACGGCGTCTTGCGTTGGAGATTGTAATGTGCTGTAATTTGTGCTTGTGCCCGTAGCAAACATGAACATGTACAGATCCGTTCTTTTCTGTTTCTGCAGTCACAGTTGCAGTATAATTGTTTCCAATTTTGCATGAGCCTATATTAAATATAGGTAAAAGGTGTGTATTAATGTGGAAAACGTTTTAAAGCAACATTTTGACTGTATTCCACTATTCATCATGTACAATAATATGGTGCATATTTCATGATTTCAAGGAGTATATAAAATACTAGTAATTATTAGTACACACAACTGTTCAAATTTAAAAAAATGAACAAAATAAAAAACGGCCATAACTTCAATAAGGCCAAAAAAAAAATATGTGGGTTTCCGGTTTCTTCTTATAAAAACTTAGGTAGGGTAGGTCGGTTTTAACTTTTTTTTTTAAACTTTTTTTTTAATTTTCCGAATAAGCGGACGCCATTTTGTTTAGTCAGTGCTTCCACATCCAAAGATATAATTCCCTAATATTTCCTCAAATTTCAATTTTCCACAAATTTTTTCCTGTAAGTGGAAACACTTACAAGCATGATCCAATAAAAAAGTTTAGGGTCGGGATTTTGACGTCCAAAAGCTAGGTAGGGTCGGGAAACCGGAAACCCACATATTTTTTTTTTTGACCTAAGTAAAAATTGAATGTCATGAAAAATTACACGTCGAGTGGAGTTTGTAAAGAAAACAATTTAGGCGAGAAAATATCTTGACTGCTTTTTTGCTCTCGACTTTTTTTTGCTATATTTGTGAACGTTCTGACAAGGTTGCGAAATGGATTGCGAGGATTTGAGGATTCAAAATGCCTCTTAGCTATTCAGAAAATGCGATTTAAACAGAAGTAAACACCTGTCTTGATAAGGGAGTGCAGTTTACAAGTTGGTTTTTCATGCCTGTTATTAGTTTTCTGTAACATCAATGGTATCTTTATTCCACATCAGTGTAGTTAACATTTCGATACCACAAATTTGTAAACCTATTTATGAAATATTATGAGAGTATTCACCTTGGCTTTTAAGTCTTCGTTTTCCAGTCCCTTTTGGTACATAATCTCCACAACGGTTGCATGTAAAGTACTCCACAGTCTTTCCCTTTTTGCTTCCAGACTTTTTCACGAATGAACAGTCTTCTTGTTCTTCTAGGGCTTCTTTCCATTCCTCGAATTCTAATCAATGATAACATGCAATAATTAGAGATTGAAAGCTTGGTATGGTGGATGTGATGGTGCTCAATATATAGTAATTGCAATAGTAAGACTGTTTTGGAAATTTATTGGCTTTCACCCCACACGCCCTGGGCAATACATTTTCAAAATAATTGTCATGTACCACCCCTAAACTACATGACCTTAAAAACGTCAGTAAATGATGGCAATAACCATCCAAACTGTCAATTTTAGTCCAAACTTAAGCGAATGGCACGTTTGTGGCATGCACTTAAATGTGGACTAAAATTACATACCAAAACTTTGAATTCTTCCTGTTTTATTTTATCTTACAGGTTTGTATCAAAAGACATCAGAAACATCACGTACCTTTGTAGCTTTGCAGTGTATCCTTACAAAAAAATCCTATAGGAATTCCTATAGGAATTCCTATAGGATCCTATAGGACCATTTTTAAATACTAATTTAGTCTATTTATCTTTTTGTGACATTTTTCATTGTTCTCAGTTTAGGAAATGTTTCTTATATTTTCTTACTTTTAGAAAATTTTGAGACATAAAATTCTACTATATTATATTACCTATATTATGTATTTAAAAAATAGAAAATTCTGTATGGTACGCACTACTAACATAAGTTTTTTTTTCTGTCATTCCTATACACAACTATGTTTAGTTCTGATTGCACAGCAATGTGTTGTGGCGAATAGAGTTTCTCACAAAGCCGTATTAATAACACTTTCCACTTCACAATCAAGATTATGATCTAACAAACCATCTGTTTAAGTCCATAAATTTCTCCAAGCACAGCATGCAAATGCCACCAGAGATCCATCATTTTGGAATCTGTAAAAGGAAAACTTTATTTATTGAAAATATAATCGTAATTAGTAAATTACCCTACAAAAAACTAGAACAATGGACCAGACGACTTGCTTCCTAAACTGAGACACTCCTCAGTCAGTTATAATATAAGGGACTATTAACTCTTGATGTAAAAACAGTTTTTAAGTATTATTTAACAATTATTGAATGAGGTTGAGCACGATATGAAGAATTATCAAGCCCAAAGTTTGCTGTTATCAACCGAAGCCAAAGGCTGAGGTTATTTTTTCATATTGACTCTTTGACGTCATTTTGCTAATATGAAAAATCCATATTTGGTTAGCCATTGAGTTGATATGACAATTTCACAGTTGCTGTTAGCCAATCAGAAACCAGAAATTTTTTAAATAAATAATAATAAGACTTATCCTATATATATAAGATAATTTCCATAGTTTATTGTCATAATCACCATGAATTACAAAGACTGTTCATATTGATACAAGGTAATGCAGGGTGTAATATGTATACTGGGTTTGGTGAATAATCCAAGTGAAAACTAAGTCCTCTGGCAGTAATCGAACCTATGGCCCTGCGATTCTGGACCTCAGTTGGTTAGAGCGCTGCCCCGGAAGCACAGGGCTGTAGGTTCAATTCCTGGTCGAGGATTTAGTGTTACATTTTTCGCAATCGTTCCTGGTTATAGGTCTTAATTAAATAGTGTCTATATATACCAGGTATGTTAATGCCATTTTCTTCGAAACCACTCTGATCAGTCGTCAGTTCAAATACCAATATGCTGACTTTTCATGGAAGTTTAACTGTTATGGTGTGCTCGTGACGGATATTAATTAATCATGATAACAATAGCATAGCGGCGTGCGGATCGCATTTTTTCGACAATAATCCACATAAAAACAATATTAAAAATACAAGTAATGCATCACAGTGGCATTACTTTCGCCAAATCGACAGGAAGCCCGCCACCTATAATGTGGTGACAAATAGCTTTTTCAATATGTCAGCATAAAATAAAATAGAATTTCTGTAATATTAACTTTGACTGTTTGTTTCCAAGAATATTAATAATTGTAAATAAAAGTAAATTACAGCAATAAAAAAACCTCAATTCGCAATAATCCACTTAATAGAAAAAAAATATTAAAAAAGAAATGACAACATTACAGTAATACATCGCAGTGGCATTACTTCCGCCAAATCGACAGGAAGCCCGCCACCTATAATGTAAACATTTAGCTTTTTCAATATGTCAGTATAAAAATAAAATAGAATTTCTGTAATATTAACTTTGACTGTTTGTTTCTAAGAATATTAATAATTGTAAATAAAAGTAAATTACAACAATAAAAAAAACTCAATTCGCAATAATCCACTTAATAGAAAAAAATATTAAAAAAGAAATGAAAACATTACAGTAATACATCGCAGTGGCATTACTTCCGCCAAATCGACAGGAAGCCCGCCACCTATAATGTAAAATTTACCTTTTTCGATATGTCAGTATAAAAATAAAATAGAATTTCTGCAACATTAATTTTGACTCTTTGTTTCTAAGAATATTAATAATTGTAAATGGAACACGAATGGAAGTTGTGTGAATTGTTAGCTGATTTCTGATAGATTGGATTCCAAGAACTTTGAGTCGATGTATAAGGCGGAGATGTAAACAACCGAACGGTCGACAATATGAAATTCCTGGTATAAACTCCAAAAGTGGAACAGCTCAAAGAAAATTTTTGCATTCAAGGTATGTATATTTATGTTTTCTTCAAATTCTCTAAACTAAAGGCGAAGAACAATGATGTTTTAAGCGAGTTTATTTCAAGGGGTTTTTAGTCATGCAATCGGACCATTCGCGTAATAGACTAAATTTTTATCTAAACAAAAATTTCATCAAAAATTTCAAATTGACATTTCCCGTTTGTAATCTAAAATGACTGAAAATTACACATTTCGCAAGGCTATATTATCCGCATTTTACAACATTTCGCCACGAAATTTTGGAATATTACTAATTTTATGATGCTCTTTCAAGCTGTGATGAAATTTTTGTCTAGACTTGTTGAGATCAAAATTTAGTCTATTACGCAAATGGTCAATTGCCAAACAGTGATTTTTGCATATTTAATGAACCAAAGTTAACTCTTTCTCGTAGCGCGTGAATTTATTTGCCCAAAATAAATTATACATTTTTGAAAAGAGCAGTTTTCCAATAGTGCTTGTGCAAAATTTCATAAGATTTGAAAGGATGGCAAATGGAGAAATCTGTCACTTTTTACACGCAATGACAAACAATAAAGATCAGTACCCGTCGCTCTTTATTGTGCACAAATGTGTTCAGTTGTTCAATTATCATAAAACCACTTTTAATAAACGAGGGAGTGATGTATCTTTAGCAGAAAGTATAATAAGGCTATTTGGATTTACGGTTTGGATACCAGGATTAAGTAGACATACGCAATTTCGGCCATTTTTCGATTGCGAAAATCGGTCCTCACAGCTGACATATTTTTTTCCCTTTTTTTCATAAACAAAAGAGTATTTTTAAAAACTAACCATATGACGTTTCATACTTTGTCATAGTTAACTTAAATTCAAAAGTAGAGCGAATTTAAAATTTTGAGCCTTGCCGCGGTATGTTTGATTTTTGTAGAGACTCGCTCTTAAGCGCTTTCCTGAGCCGATTAGCATATACTCGTTTTTTTCTTCATTTAATGTTAATTTGTTTGCATCTAACCAAGTCTTAACGTTTTGGATTTCCACCCCCAATTTGTATTCAATTTCAAAAGAAGACTCTCCAGTTGCAGTTAAGCTTGTATCATCAGCAAACATGGCGGGTTCAGTTATTTCTAAACTATTTGGCAGATCATTTATATAAATTGTAAACAGGAGTGGCCCAAGGTTAGATCCTTGTGGAATGCCGCATGTAATATTTTGGAAGGTTGATAGCGAGTTATTTACTTTGCAAATTTGTTTCCTATTACTAAGATATGACTGAAACCATGACAGTGCTAATCCACGAATCCCATAACATCTCAATTTGGATAATAGAATGTTATGGTTTACCGTGTCAAAAGCCTTTTTGAGGTCCAGAAATAGGACACCATTAATCAAACCAGCGTCCATGTTTGCTAACCAGCTATTAGTTACATGTAGTAATGATGTTTCAGTTGAATGATTTACACGAAAACCAGACTGAAATTTGGAAATTATTTGGTGGTGTTCCAAATATTTCATTAATTGTTCATGTACAACTTTCTCAAATACTTTGGGAACTATAGAAATGACAGAAATCGGCCTATAATTACCGCATAGGGTTTTTTCTTCCGATTTGTGGATAGGTGTTGGCAATTTTCCAGTCATCTGGAAAAATTCCAGTCTTAAGAGATTGGTTAAATATATACGTTAGTGGCACAACAATAGCACCCCCAGCGGCCTGCAATAGTTTCACAGAGATTTTGTCATAGCCCGATGATTTAGCAGTTTTCATTTTAATTTCCTCCCTAACTTTATCATGGGATGTAGTTTGAAATTTGAAGTTGTGTGGTGTAGATGTTACGAAAGACAGTGGATCGACATCACTTGCGTCTGTATTTTCAGCTAAACGTGTACCTATGCGCGAGAAGAAGCTGTTAAATTCTTCTGCAATATTCTCATCTCCTACTATTTTTCCTTCGTCAACTACCAATTCATTAATTATAATTACTGACGGTCATAATAACCTATTGTTTTCTCTCTGCATTATATCAGCGAATGTCGAGAAATTTTAAGGCCGGCGCACACTAGAGCTATGTGCTTAGCAAAATGTCATTCGTGACTGTTGGCGTAAGGAGATAGCTCTCGTGTGCGGGCGATTTACGAACGACTTTTGTCATTCGTGCCACTTACGCCAAATATCTAACATGTTTGATAATTTCTGCCTCACGTGCCAAAATCTTTCCGTGTGCGGCGAACGAAAGCTATCTGCTTACGGATTGTCGTAACAGCGCATGCGTAGTATACGAATGTAAACATCCAAGATGGCGGCGCAAAATGAATTGCTGGCCGAGGCAATTTTAGAGGACAAACTTACTGGCTATTTCTTTCACCGCACATTCCCTTTTGTCCCTATTTCTAAAATCTGCAGAACTCACATCGTATAAACATTTGTATTCAGGCCAAAGTTCGACAAGTTTGTCCTCTAAAATTGCCTCGGCCAGCAATTCATTTTGCGCCGCCATCTTGGATGTTTACTTTCGTATACTACGCATGCGCTGTTACGACAATCCGTAAGCAGATAGCTTTCGTTCGCCGCACACGGAAAGATTTTGGCACGCGAGGCAGAAATTATCAAACATGTTAGATATTTGGCGTAAGTGGCACGAATGACAAAAGTCGTTCGTAAATCGCCCGCACACGAGAGCTATCTCCTTACGCCAAACCAGTCACGAATGACATTTTGCTAAGCACATAGCTCTAGTGTGCGCCGGCCTTTAGCGTTCTTCTGAAAAACGGGAGCGGTCTTTTTTGATTGTAGGGAAATTCCCAGGGGTAAATGTTTATACGGGCTAAAATAGCACACAGCATTATTAAAAACAAGACGCTCTATAGAGCGTTAACTCGCTGGGGCTATACAAACCACAGGCGGCCCAATCTCAGAATGAATGATCAGGTGTTGCGGGTTTTTAACGGTTTTTATAAACAAATTTATAGTCAACCAAAACTATTTTAAAAACATTCTTAAATTAGTCAAATAAATACATTTTAACAATAAAATATAGTTGACATGATAGTATAATACCTTTGCATTCTTTTAATTACTCCATGAGCTCATTTAGAGCGGTTGATGTAACATTTTCTGTGGCCTACATTGAGTGTGCTCATCTATATATAATATAACAGTAGAAGGCTAATCACTGGCGGCACGACCGCATCGCCTTCAATGTCAAATATCTCCGCTCAAACTTCTCGTACGCCAAAACAAATTCGATTACATCTTTTCACAAAGATTTCTCTTTCTAAATAATATGGTTTGATCGTAGCTTGGGCAAATTTAGCGACGAACGGAACCAAAATCTCCTCAATTTCGGATACTGTTCAAAATACTTAGGGCTGCTCGGGCACGATCGTGGACGTGACGTAATCAATACATACTGACAATAACGCCTTACCGCCTTACTTGGGGTGGGACAGCATAAAGCGACAAACTATCGTCGAATTTGATATGCTGTCTCACCCCGGGTAAGGCGTTATTGTCATTATGTATTGATTACGTCATACTGACATACTGACAATAACGCCTTACCCGGGGTGAGACAGCATATCAAATTCGACGATAGTTTGTCGCTTTATGCTGTCCCACCCCAAGTAAGGCGGTAAGGCGTTATTGTCAGTATGTATTGATTACGTCACGTCCACGATCGTGCCCGAGCAGCCCTAAGTATTTTGAACAGTATCCGAAATTGTGGAGATTTTGGTTTCGTTCGTCGCTAAATTTGCCCAAGCTACGATCAAACCATATTATTTAGAAAGAGAAATCTTTTTGAAAAGATGTAATCGAATTTGTTTTGGCGTACGAGAAGTTTGAGCGGAGATATTTGACTTTGAAGGCGATGCGGTCGTGCCGCCAGTGATTAGCCTTCTACTGTTATATTATATATAGATGAGCACACTCAATGTAGGCCACAGAAAATGTTACATCAACCGCTCTAAATGAGTTCATGGAGTAATTAAAAGAATGCAAAGGTATTATACTATTATGTCAACTATATTTTATTGTTAAAATGTATTTATTTGACTAATTTAAGAATGTTTTTAAAATAGTTTTGGTTGACTATAAATTTGTTTATAAAAACCGTTAAAAACCCGCAACACCTGATCATTCATTCTGAGATTGGGCCGCCTGTGTACAAACACGCACATTACCGTATATGATACATACATGCATGCAGTATACAGTTGTTATAATTTAAGGTTGTCCCGAGCTAAGCGGAAAAGTCGAATACGAGCGCGAAAGGCTAGGGTTGAAGATTAAACTTTTCAGTAACAGTTTTGTTCACTCTGTTTTGAACTATATCAACATATAACACTGCTCTGTCTATTTAGGTGAATGCCATGTTATAATATTGCTATTTATATCCCACTGACTTGCATTGTGCCCCAATGCAATCATGCACCCTACTTTATTAGTTTAATGTATGTATAAACTTTATTTCAACACGGAAATCTCATCATTACAAACAATGCTCTTCCTGAGAGCCGTGCATATATACAATTATGTAAAATTATAAATCTATGTATAAATATAGGAAGAAAGGAGAGAAAGGGAAACAAAGGGTAAACTAGATTTTACGATAATTTGAATGATTATATTACATATATACAATAAAAGCATTAGAGACTAAGAGAATCACGTATACTATTAGAAACCTTTGTTTTGAAAGCAATGACATCCTCGGTTGATTTGATGTCATCACTTAGAGAGTTCCAGGTGACCGCTCCACTGTATGTTAAACTATTTTTCATGAAGTTTGTGCTAGGTTTTGGAAGAGAAAAATTCACCTGGCTACCCCTTACATTGTAGTCATGCATTTGATTCCTTCTGGAAAATTGTGATGTTAGATACATAGGTGCATCATTATTTGCTATTTTATGCATTAATAATGCCTTATTCAAGTGCCACCTATGTTCCAACGTAAGCCAGCCTAATTTTTCTAAAATTTCCGCAGATCTAATATCATATCCAGAACGTGTGATAACCCGCCCAGCACGATTTTGTAATTTCTGAAGTTTCTCTTTAAAACCTTTATTGCAGTTATCCCATACCGATGAACAATAGTCGAAATGCGGTTGTATAATTGCATAATATATTTTCTTTAATGCGTCTACTGGAACAAAATCACGAATTTGTCTCAAGACACTAAGGCCACTCTTTACCTTCTTTACAGTATTACTTATGTGCTCATGCCAGCTAAGATTTTCGTCAACAGTAACACCTAGGATTTTTTTGTGTTTAACTCTTTTCAGTTTAACATTTCCTATGAATAAAGAAGGTTCCCTACTTAAGTTTCTAATTCGTTGGACTGAGCCAATGATCATGTATTCGCTTTTGACAATATTGAGACTAAGATGATTGGCTCTCAGCCAAATGCACAAATTTTGTAGATCTTCATTAATTCTGTTTTCCATAAGGTTAAAATTTTCGTTTCCCATAGTGATGCTAGTGTCATCTGCATACATATTTGGTATTGTATGAGCGAGACAGCCCGGAAGATCATTAATAAAGATCAGAAACAGCAACGGGCCTAGTATCGATCCCTGTGGTACACCGCATTTTATTATACCCGGATTTGAAAGGACCCCATTTATAAAGCATTTCTGGCTTCTATTAGAAAGGTATGATTGGATCCATTTTAATTCGTCACCAAAAAAGCCGTAATACTGCAATTTATTCAACAAGATTGTGTGGTCCACAGTATCGAAGGCTTTCTTAAGGTCAACAAAAACAGCTATGTTCAAGTTCCCCTTATCCATGTTATTGAGCCAAAACATAGTATCTTTATGTAAGGCCGTCAAAGTAGAGTGTCGAGGTCTGAATCCCGACTGATTTTGTGACAATAAGTTATTGTCACTTAAATATTCATAAAATTGTTTAAAAACGATTTTCTCAAAGACTTTAGCTATTACTGACAAAACAGATATTGGTCTATAATTATTTGCATCCGATCGTTCTCCGCTCTTAAAAATTGGGGCTACCCTTGCACTTTTTAGGTCATCGGGAAAAATACCACTTATTAAAGATTTATTAAAAATAATTGAAAGAGACTCGGATACGATACCTGCAACACCCTTGATCACGTTACATGGTATTTTATCTAGGCCAGATGCCTTTTTAGAGGGGATATCCCTTATAGCCGCCGAAACCTGACCAGCACTAATGTGCTTAAAATTAAATTTACTTGTACTTTGATTCACATAGGTGCAAGGATTTAAAGTTGTACTCGGAATATCACGGGCTAGGTCCAGTCCCAATTTAATAAAATGTTCATTAAAATTTTCAGCTATAAGTTTCTTATCACTTATAATACCCGATTCGTTTTTTAAAATATTTACATTAGTCCCTTTGGTAGGTTTGTTCAAAAGGTTATTTAGCAATTTCCACGTTTTCTTGGTGTTGTCTTTATTCGCCTCAAGGTTTTGAATAAAGTAATTTCTTTTGCATGTTTTTAGCTTATTATTAACCTTGTTCCTCATTTTACAGTATTCGAGCCAGTTTGCTTCAGAACGATTTTTGACAGCATGTTTTTTTAGGTAATCCCTACGAAACATCATGTCTCTAATATCGGATGTAATCCACGGGGCATCACGATTTCTAACTCGTTTAGTTCTAATTGGTGCATGAGCATCCAAAACTCTATTAAAAAAAGCCTTCCACATTCGCCACATTTCATTAGGATCATGAAATCTGTTTAACAGTTCCCATGGTATTTTTTTTAAATCGTCGGTAAATGCATTCATGTCAAAGGTTTTATAATTACGAGTCTCAATAATCCTAGGTCGCTCGCGTGGTATTATCATACGACGCACTGCATATATCAAACTATGGTCACTGATAGAAAGGTGACATACTCCACTACTCCTTATACGATGAGACGCTGTTGTAGCAAAGTGATCAATTAAAGTTTGCGTACTGCTTGTAATACGTGTAGGTTGTTTAATAAGTTGAGTATACTGATATTCATCATATAGAGAAGTAAGTTTCGATGTATGTGGAGTTTTATTTATCTCCAGGACATTACAGTTGAAATCGCCTAGTATTATAGATTCCTTTTCCTCCATTTCTAGCGACTGGAGATAGGTTTCAAATGTATCGAGAACATTTAATTCACTTGCTGGAGGTCTGTACCAGGTAGTAACCAAAAATGGTTTTACGAATTTACCTATAATCTCGATAGTTAATATTTCAAGATCAATATCAGAAGTTATTTGTTTGGTCAAAAAATTCCATGTCTCCTTTACGTATAGCAGAACTCCACCCCCATGTCTATTTCTATCTTTACGTACTACATTGTATCCTATTATTGAAATATCCTTGTCAGCAATTGTGCTGTCTAAACGTGTCTCATTAATTGCTAAAATATCAAGAGTCTGGCTGGACATGACCATTTTTAATTCATCTATGTGGCTTACAAGACTAGCAATATTAAGTGCCGCAATTTTGAAACCTTTCAGCGCTTTGATATTCGATAAAGGATCGTAATTGCTGGGAGATTTATCACACGTACTCTGACTATTTATTTCTGAATTTATATCAAGCATACATGTATTATCTATTACTGGAGCGGTACCAGAGAACTCATTTTGCAGATTCTCCAAGCTCATCGCTTCCTTGTCATGTATGTTACACGATTTAGGTGAGCTTCCCACGTCGCTGAATGATTTACCCTCATCAGAGGCGGATATTTGTTCGTAGACTTCTTCTGTTTGTATAAAAAATGGGATTGCGAATTTACAAGCTCATTTCGAGGTTGATTTACATATCCCATTCTTATTAACTTTAAATATGCACAGATATTTTTTCCTAATACCCTATCTCCTGCTTTGTTAAGATGTAAATTAGATCTATTCAAATGTGTACAGTTTATATTTGAGTTATCAATGAAGTGCACATTTTTGTTAATACACCATTGATTTATAATACGATTTAGCAAAAGTATTTTCTCTGCGTTCACTCTACCATCGTTTCTCATGATCACACTAGAAATAGCTATATTATTTGTGCAGCCTTTGAATTTCATTACTAAATTTTCAAGATCTCCTGCAACTATGTCTCATACCAGTCGATTTTGCTTGTCAAAGGGAGAGTGCTGCCGCTCTCAAATTGACTAGGTTTGTATTGCAGGTAGGAGGCTCAGTTTTGAAGTTTCTGTTAATATAATGACCCAGTTCAGGATTTTATACAATCAGACACGCAAATAAAACTTCCGGCGTTTCCACCGGCTAGGATTAAACTGCGCGTTCAAAATAAAATTACGTTCAAAATAAAATATTTGGGGGCTTTTGGGCTCAAAATACTATCAAAATGAAGAGAGAAGTGAGACAAATCCACTGGTATACGGCCGAAAAAGAGAAAACCAACGATACCAAAGTTATCAAGGATCAAACGTACTGCATTTTTATAATTAGTTGAATAGTTTTGAGCGATTCGTTCGCAATACAATTTCGCTTGGATTTTAAAGATAAAGGCCATAATAGAATACTGTTGTTTAGTGATACATTTGACACCCGTAAGTACAATTTCTGACGCTGAATCGAACGGTGGTATTTTTTATCTTTATTGCGCCATTAGGCATTAATACAACTTAGTACAAGGTCAAGGACAAACGTACTGCGAGTGAGTGTCAACATGAAACTGAACGTACTGCGAGCGATTTGTAAACAATACAATTTCGCTTGATTTTGAATGGCCATAAATCGCTAGAATACTGTTGTTTAGTAATACATTTGACATCCGTAAGTACAATTTCTTACGCTGAATCGAACGTTGGTATTTTTATCCTTATTGCGCCTTTAGGCATTACGAATACATTATATTTCACACTACAGTTTTCACGTTTCTAATAACTATTTAATAGAGACTGTTGTTGGATAAATTTTATATTGATATGACACTAATATGCTTCTCATAAAGTAGTTATCTATTAAAACTACGTTGTGTAGTTTACTGTAAGTTATAACCTTTTACCTTGAAATTGTCTTTGCCTTTGGCTCGTTTATATCCAGATTCAGTATATTATATGAATATTATGATCGTGCATGGGAATTTGACGATCCAAATTTCGGATTTTCAGAGCCGTGAACCAAGAAAAATGCATTAACTAAACTAGCAAGAATGTCTAGAGTTAGACACAATGCAAAATCCATAAAAAACAGCTACAATTCGTTGAAAATTTTAACGAAATTGTTTGAAATATTTTGCCCACTCCACGAAAGGCCGCCATTTTGATATTAGGCAGCTCATTAATATTCTATTTTGTGGCTATCGAAGAAAATTGGAGATCCACTATTGCTGATCCACTATTGCTGATCCACTAAAAATGCGTGCCGAAACCTATACTCGCCAGGGCACAGAGTGCCCCAGCGAGTAATAATGCAGCGTGCACACAGCATTATTAAAAATAATGCAGCGTGCACACAGCATTATTAAAAATGATGCAGCGTGCACACAGCATTATTAAAAATAATGCAGCGTGTATCAGTGCACACAGACATTATTCGCAATCCTTCGTCATCCTGACAAGTACACGCGATAACGTGAACATCTCAAGATGAGAAGTTGACAGTGCTAAAGGCCCCTCATACAATATCATCGGGCGCCTGAAGCACTGCCAAAACGGTCTCTGTGAGTCCTTTCAGCTCAACTTTATAGAGAAATAGTTTCGTTTGCGCTTGTGGGATTTTATCCTAGATATACGCATGTGCAGAACACACCATAAGTTCTATTCCCGTGTTTATCAACACCGCGGGAAAACGTCTGCGCATGCGTCAACCTTACCTGTAATAGTATTGCGAACTTGATGAGAAGCTGTTCCGAACGTTTCCGAAGGCTCAAAATGGCGGTAAAAAGGAGTGACTTCATTGTGCGTCTTTAGAGCCAGATATCGAGCGCAAAAATAAACATGTCATTCTAAAAACTAGGAATAAATACAGCCAGAAGGTTCAAGAAATTGTATTGTACAAGAACATGAACTAAAGGTGATTGTTGACAAATTTATCGTCTGAAACATTTTGTTTATCAACTAAGCAACGACAATTCCCGAATTTTTGTTTGAGATACATTTCTTTAAAAAAAACTGTGTTGCCAAATATAAAAAATTTTCGTGTTCACAATAATTAAACTTTAGGATTTATTCTACAATTTGAGTGGGTTAAGAAGCTTAACTTTTCAAGAGTTTTCTTAACTTTTTAGTTTGAATTTTTGTTTTGAATAATTTTGCAAAAATTTTCGAAGTCGTGTCCGTTAAAATCAACAATTTTTTACATGAATTATATTTCATTCCACACTTTAAATGCCAGGACGCTTTCAATTAATGTCTAGTCTACCCATTTGCTATATTTTCTCGTTTGTTTTACTAATTTTGACCAATTAATAAGCATGTTTTTGTTTTAGAAATTGATATTCAAATTCCCCGCCATATTTTCATAATTTGGTGCATGCGCAGACGTTTTTCCGCGGTGTTGTGTTTATCCAGTTTAATACGCTCTTTGAATTAACCTTATCATTAATGATAATATGTAAACTAGAACACTATAATTGACCTCCGCTTGTGGAGATTTTAATTTAGGGCGATTAATT